GGTCGCCTGCACGAGGAGATCTGGCTGCGCCGCCCTCCTGGTTTCACTGGGTCGTTTCCTCCTGGTACCCAGTGGAGCCTCCGGCGGCCAGTCTACGGTCTCCGCCAGGTGCCGCGCGAGTGGCACGACACACTGAGGACTACACTTGCGGCTCTTGGGTTTGCTCCTTCCACTGCTGACCCGTCGCTGTTTCTGCGCACCGACACCTCACTGCCGCCGTTCTACATCCTCGTGTACATCGACGACTTGGTCTTTGCCACTGCGGACACTGCCGCACTCGCCCACGTGAAGTCCGAGCTGCAGAAGAGACACACGTGCACAGACCTGGGTGAACTGACAAGCTATCTTGGCTTGCGGATCACCCGGGACAGAGCACGCCGCACCATTACCCTGACTCAGTCACACATGGTGCAGCAGGTCCTTCAGCGCTTCGGCTTCACGTACTCCTCGCCTCAGTCCACTCCTCTGCCTACGGGACACTCGCTCTCAGCTCTGCCTTCGGATGAGTCCGTAGAGTCGAGTGGTCCGTATCCAGAGCTTGTGGGCTGCCTCATGTACCTGATGACCTGCACTCGACCTGACCTCGCATACCCTCTCAGCATCTTAGCACGCTATGTCGCTCCCGGCCGTCACCGGAAGGAGCACATGGATGCAGCTAAGAGGGTGTTGCGCTACTTGTGCAGTACGTCGGGCATGGGGCTAGTGCTTGGAGGGCGTGAGCGGCCTGTGCTCAGTGGGCACTCAGACGTTTCTTGGGCTGACGACCAGGCTACTCAGAGGTCGTCTCAGGGTTACACCTTCAGTCTTGGCTCTGGCTCTGTCTCTTGGCGCTCTACTCGCTCTTCTTCGGTTCTCAGCTCCAGTTGTGAGGCTGAGATCTACGCCACGGCCATGGCTGCCCAGGAGCTGCGCTGGCTCACCTACCTGCTGACTGACCTTGGAGAGCGGCCTCGTTCTCCTCCAGTGCTGTACGTCGACAACAAGGCAACCATTGCCTTGTGTCAGGAGCACAGACTGGAGCACAGGACGAAGCACATTGCTCTGCGCTACTTCCTTGCTCAAGAGCTGCAGCAGCGTGGTCAGCTTCGCCTGCGTTTCGTGGCCACTGAGGCCAACACTGCTGATGTGTTCACCAAGGCACTTCCGCCTCGTGACCATCAGCGCTTTTGCACTCTGCTAGGTCTTGTGTCCACTGGGCCTCACTTGCTTACCTCTTGACCTTGCTTGTACTGCTGCATATATATATCCTTGCTCTTGCTTGTTTAGCACTGTTATATATATATGCTCTGCTGCATGTGAACTGGCCTTGTGGCCTTGACCTTGTGCTCGGACTGTGTGGTGACTTTGTGATCCACCCTGAGCTTTGCTTTGCTTTGCTTGACTGGTCTTGTGACCCCTTGTTCTCCCCCACTTTGCCTATGGGGGTGTGTCAGATTTATATGACATAGTTGCTGTAGGCTATACTGGGGTAGCACATATGGGGTACAGGTTTCTAGGGTTGTATTTGTACCCAATCTTTCCTTAGTCATTTCATTCCTGTTCTACAACTCTCACAGTGGCAGCCCTTCCGGTAAGTCGTCTGGAAAAATCCCCGGGTACCGTCTCAACAGTTCCTGTAGTTTGGGCGGTACTGCTGCCAACAGTTTCTGAAAATCGTTCGGCTGCTCCACTTCTCCTACTAATGCTATATCTACTGCGTACACGTCAGCTCCAGCGGCGACAACCCGTTTCATCGTGATTTCGTTGACGTGGACCGTTGAAGACTCGGGCGACTGCCGACGAGGTAGCATGACCCAGTTACCGCTACTTCGCACAGTGCAGCTACCCGTCGTCCAGTCGATTCGTGGGTTGTACCGTCGTAGCCAATCACGTCCTAGTAAAACATCATGCCCATCCAATGTCGTCGCGAGCATTTCCTGTGTAAACCCGAAGTTTCCCCTGCAGCGAACTTTTACTCTCTCCACCTTCTCCTGTATGGCCAGCGGCGTGCTGTCTACTAAGCGTGCGTCGATCTCAGGTAAGCAGCGACGAAGTGTTAGTTGTAATTTTTGCGCAGTTGCGGTATTAACTAAACTGTGGCTTGCTCTTTCGTCAATAGAAATCTTCACTGCTGCTCCCTGTATTTTCCCGTGGATCAGTACTGGGCAATCTGTCGTTGTACCCTCCTTATTCATCCGAGCCCGATCGATGGCGTGAATCGGTACTGTGAATCGGTGAGGGTCGGTGCGGTTGGGCGAGCAAGCAGTCTCGTCAGTAGTTGGCCCAACTTCTGCTGACTGCTGGCGTTTCCCTGCCTCTGAGACTCCCTCCCCTGCTCTGCTCCGCGGCGCCTTAGCTCCTTTGGGCATTCGCTCTTGCGATGGCCCGGCCTGTTGCAAGCAAAGCATCGCCCCTTAAACGGTGCGGCAGCTGCATTTGTTGCAACAGCGTTTACAGTGGCGTGCTCGATCGGTCCCCGATGACGATGTCCGTAGTAGGACCCCGGTCTCGGTCGGCGTAGAATGTCGATTTTCTCGGCGAGCGCGAGAATCTCGTTGAAGTTTGAGAGTCCGCGCAGCATGATTTCGTGCGAGATATCCGGTTTCAGCCCTCCGACGTAACGGTCCACCCGCTCCGTTTCGTGCATGTAGCCGACCTGCTCGCAGAGTGCGAGAAAACCGCTTGTGTAATCTTGAACCGACCCGAGCTGCCGCCAAGTGCGCAATCTCTGACGCGCCGAAATAGAAGTCGCGATCGGCTCGAAGCGCGCCCGAAGCCCTTCGCACCACGCATCCCACGTGCTGTATTGGGCGGTCTCGCAGAATGAACTCCAGGTGACAGCTGGACCCGTGGGCCCTTCCTCTTGCGACGGTGGCTCGTAGGCGCGTGGCGACGTCACGATGACTCGCCACCAGTCCATGGCGGGGCCCCTTAATAGCGAAACGGCATACCGAATCTTCGCTGCTTCCGACTCGACGTAATTCGCATCGAAGAAGACGTTCATCGTGAAAACCCACGATTGAACCGTCGGACCTCCACGCTGGCTCGGGTCGAAACGGAGCGGGCGTTGCGGCTTGAGTGGCATTGGTGCCATGATGGCCTGTTCGCAACTTGTCGCCGCGAACTCCACGTGCCAACGGGCTTCGCGAGGCTCCCGCGGGCTTGGCGCGCCCCTGTTTCCTCCCATGCCAGGCATTGGTTGGGCGGCGCTATCACTGGCTGCGCCCGAGCGCTGTCCCACGCTGTCGTGTTGTGTTGGTGTCTCGGACGAGATGACGATTGGCTCGTCCGATTGTGCAGGTGCATTTGTTGGTGCGTGTGGTGCTGCTGGAGTGTTCACCGTTGATTGCTGACGCGCGGAGTCACGTTCCGCTGTGAGCATCGCAATTTCGAGCGCCGAATCTTCGAGTTGGCGCACCAGACGGCCGAGCTGCTCCTGCGTCAATGTGGCGAGCGTGAATTCGGCCATGACGGGGATGTCGGGTGAGCTCAGCGAGAGCCTCAGTCGTGGCCGTGCGTGCTTACGAGAGAGCACTACGAGCGGCGGTGCTGTGTCGCTGAGAGACGTCTACCCCCCCAAAAAATTGAGATAGTGGGTAAGCGAAGGTGTGGGTGCGGTCCGAGAAGAGGTCGTAGGCTCTAATACCAAGTGTTACAAGTGCAATTGACTGAACGAACGAGAATTGCACTATCGAAGCAAGAGTACAATGAGCGAAGGTATGAGCGAAGAATATATAGCGAAACAACAGTGGTAACGGTAATGGACTGTGGTTGTCGCGCGACGGGCTTGGGACTGAGGTTGGGAAAAGTGTCGAAGCGGAGGCCCGGAGCGCGGGTTAACCGCCGAGCCGTGAGGTCGGGGTGCGACGTGGGAAGGTGACGGGCGGATTGTCGATGCGAGGATTGCGAGTGGTAACGGTGCTGACTGTGGCGCTATAGTGATGTACGCGTTGAGTAGGGACGCGAAGTAAGGAAAAAGAGATTTTCCTTACACATAGAAAGCATTGCCGAGTGAGTAGATACTGTAGAGAGCAAGTCCTGTGTGCAGTTGATCATGAGTATCCAGTAGTGGGCAGTGAGCGCACAACAAGCAGGTCAGCTTCGAAACGAGGAAATGACAGATCGCCGTGTTTTTTAATTTCCAATTCCAATGGGCAGTGGTTTTGACAGCGCATTGCTCTGCGCTCGCGTCCAATACCTTGGGGCACATTCTTTTTCAGTTTCCCCTTTTAAGTCCAAAAATACAAGTTATTTTTAGTTTACGGGGTATTTAAAATGTATTCGTCGAGTCCATAGCAAACGCTCAGCTCGGGACAAAAAAAATATAACCCTCATGGATGGTATGCCACGAAGAGAGCATCAACCCTAAACACCATGGGGCAAGGTGTTTAGAGTTGACACCATGGGGCAAGGTGTTTAGTTTTCCACTGGCCTCTATACTGAACCCAGGTAAACTTAATATTTGCCCCTCTATACTTTTGGTCATGAAAAACGGGAAACAGCAATATAAACTGACCGCGGGAATTGGGCGCGAGCGCGGTGGGAGTAGCTGTCAAAGCCACTGCCGAAAGGAATCGAAAACGCGCAAACACGGCGGTCCGTCATTTCCTCGCTTCGAAACCTTTCACGCATGCTTGCGGTTTTAGAATGCGCGGTGCGTCGCGCCAGTCTCAGCGACCCTCCCAGGCGCGTTGCAGTCGCCTTTTAGATTGTCTCCTAATCGGCAATCCCGGTGGAGCCTCGTCGTCCTTCCACAACGTCAACCTCGTTAACCCCTAGACTCTTTCAGCTCTTCCCTGCTCCATGGCCCGTCTTGTCGGCGCTCTCGACTCTTCAGGTCTCGACGGCCTCGCGCGACGCGCTCGTCAACTCCAAGGCTCTAGCTCTCTGACCCGGTAGCTGCTCCTAGTCGGCCGATTCAGTCTGATTCAGTCCCACCTGCTTTACAGTCCCACCTGCTTTAGCTCACTGACACGGTTCAGTGCGATTCCGTGCGGTCGAATTTTCTTGGGATTTGATACATGGCGGCATCCGCGGCGCCGTCGCCGCGGTGGCTGTGTCAGAGGTGCGGCACGCGGCTCGAGGTCACCGGGCTCGACGGCCTCGCGCTTGGCGCGTCCTCGCTCAGCCAATCAGCGGCGGATGCGCTGGGCGCGTCGCGATGCGGCGCGCAGCACGCCGCCGCGAATTCCGTGTCAATGCTGGATCAGTCGTTCGTCGTCCTGCCGCCCAACTCCTCCGCGTTTCACGGCGCGTCTTACGGCACCCCTCACGCGCCTCGTCATGGAGCCGCTGGTGGGGCGATCCGACCGTCAATTAATCCCGCGATCAGTGCTCCGCCGTTGATTCCACGTCCCCCTACAGGCAGTCCCGTTACCGCGAGTCCTGGTGCTGTTCCTGCCGCGTCTGTCGCCGTCTCTCCCGCTGCGGGCTCAGCTGGTGCATCAAACCCATCGTCCATCCCAGAAGAGCAGCAGCCTCAGCCGCAGGATCAGACCCAAGAGCATCCCCAGCAGAGGTCATCAACGGCTGAGATTCAGTCTCAGAGTTGGTCTCAACTTCAGGTTCAATCTCAGCTTCATCCGCAGCAGCATCAGCCGCCACCAATCAGAGCCACGCATCCGCCAACCGTTGGTGGACACGTGGCCTTCCCATCACACGCCGCCTTCCAGTCGCCGTTGGGTCGCAGGGGTGAGACTCTTACCGAAGAGAGTGTTTACGGCATAGAATAGGGTCTGAGACTCTTACCTAAGAGAGTGTTTACGGCATAGAATAGGGTCTGAGACTCTTACCTAAGAGAGTGTTTACGGCATAGAATAGGGTCTGAGACTCTTACCTAAGAGAGTGTTTACGGCATAGAATAGGGTCTTAGACTCTTACCTAAGAGAGTGTTTACGGCATAGAATAGGGTCTGAGACTCTCACTGTGACGTGAGTGCAGGTGAAGACGACACGCGGAATTGTACTTCGTCTGTGTTGCATGTTGTGCCGCACCTGTTGCTCTTGTGGTAATTCTAATCACCGCTCTCTGTTTCGCTCCCTTGTTTCTCACCTACCTCCCATCTCTACTTGTCTCCCCTGCACTCCTCCCCTGCGCCCATCAGCGCCCCCCGCGCGTCTGGACAAGTCGTTTGTGGTGCTACCTGGCTCGGCTGCTTTTGGTAGTACCCATCACCTCTGCCTCTTACACGCCTTGTGTTCTCGCCTACCTCTCCTTTGCTCCTCCCTCTCGCTTCCCCCGTTCCGCCCCTCCAGCGCCCCCCGCCCGTCTGGACGAGTCTTTTGTGGTGCTACCCGGCTCGGCTGCTTCTCTCTACGCCCCTCCTCCTGCCCTCCCCCACGCGCCCTCCTCCTCCTCCTCGCACGCCCGCCCCTCTCCCCACACCCACCCCTTCCCCCTTCCTCCCACCATGTCCGGTGCTGCTGCTAACGCACCTGCACCTGCTGCTATCCCTCCTTCCTCACCCGCTGCTGCTGCCACCGCTGCTGGTGCCGCTCGCACTGGCGTCTCTGCGAGTTCTGCATCTCCCTTGTTGTCACAGGGAGGGGTGGCAGCAGCCGTAGCCGTGACTGCAGCAGCTGCTGCTGCTGGTGCTGGTTCTGGTGCTGGTGCTGCTGGTGCTGCTGGTGCTGCTGCTCCGTCCTCTGTCTCTCAATGCTACCGAGGCGAGGGCACAGGTTCAGAACAGGTGCTGCCTGAGAATGTGACGGTGGGAATCGGTTCAAAAGGGTTTGTTGCTGATGCGGAGAGAGGGAGAGGAGGGAGTGAGGAAAAAGAAAGGAGGGGAAACGTGGAGGAGGAAAGGAGAGAGAGCGAGGAGCGGGAGGGTGAAAGAGGGGATGGTATGAGAGGAGGGCCGGAGAGAGGAGGCGATAGAGAGGAGGATCAAAATGATGCTGAGGGTGACGATAGCGAAAGTGGAGAGCAGCAACAGCAGCAGCAAGAACAACAACAGAAACAGCAGCAGCAGCAGCAGCAGCAATTCAAAGAGAGAGGCAGTGAGAGGGGGGCAAGGGAGGTGCAGGCAGGGGGGGGTGGCCTGGCGGGGCAGATAGAGGCGGTGGATCGAGTGTTTGACCTGGTGGCTCTGAGGACCAAGGTGGAGATGCCCCTCTGCTGCCACTGCGCCCACCACGTCTGTCGCGAAATTGATGCTCAGGTGCAGTGCGGTGGAGTGCGGTGCAGGGTGGTGGGGTACGGTGCGATTGCATGTGGTGCGGTGCGGTGGGGTGGGGTGCGGTGGGGTAAGACGTGGTCTGTTGCGGTGGAATGAGGTGGGGCTTTCTGGCGGGGCAGATAGAGGCGGTGTTTGACCTGGTGGCTCTGAGGACCAAGGTGGATCCATCCATCCATGGTTGTGTTTGGGCGTACCGATGTTCTTTTGCATCTTTCCATTAGCTTATCCCTCCACGTGTCCATCGCTCCCTCCCTCCATGCCTGCATGCATATGTGCAGGTGAGGGAGGCAGAGGAAGAAATAGCAGCGTACGAAGCAGCACTGCAATCCATCCTTGCCTCCGCCCCCTCCCCCTCGGCCGCCGCACACCACCCCTTCTCGGTCAACCATGCGAGTCCTCTGTTCGCGCCCACTGCCGCTGGGGCTCCCATGGGAGAGGACGCGTTCAGGCACCACATGGCCGAGGTGAGACGGCTCTTGCTCTCCCTGCCATGCTTCGTACTTGGCACTTGCCGTGCGTTACACTGCCAGGCCCATCCGCGTTTAGATGCAACACCCGTGTCGTCGTATGTGTGATAAGTCGAGACATGTGACATGTGAGTCGACTAGTTCTGAGCCGACTCAAAACTCGACTTATCACACACGCCTTTAGATGCAACACCCGTGCCGTCGTATGTGTCCCATGTCATCTACCCATCCCATCCCATCCCATGCTGTGGCACGGCATGGCAACAGGTGGAAGAGGAGGAGAGGCGGCTACAGCAGGAGGCGGAGGAGCTGGAGCAGCAGAGGGCGCAGCTGCGGGCGCAACTGGGGGAGGTGGAGGCGGAGCAGGCTGAGCTGGATGCTGCTGTCGAGAGGTGCGTGGGGTAGGGGCGGGTTAAATGGGGAGTGTTGTGAGTCCACTCAAAGCACACCTGGGGGCGCAGCTGGGGGAGGTGGAGGCGGAACAGGCTGAGCTGGACTCCGCTGCGGAGAAGTGCGGATGGAAGGGGAATGGGGGTTAGACATAGGAGAAGGATGTGAGGGTAGGGTAGGAGATAGAGTGAGTGTTTTGAGTCGACTTAAAACACACTTGAGCACACAGCTGAGAGCACAGCTGGGGGAGGTGGAGGCAGAGCAGGCTCAGCTGGATGCTGCGGAGGAGAGGTGGGGAGAAAACTGTGGGCTGGGGGATAGAGGGTAGAGAGAGGGGGCATGGTTATGGTGTAGATTGGAAGGAGGATGGATGAACGGATGGGTGGGAAGAGAGGTGGGGAAGGGAAAACAGCTCCTTGCAATGGGGAAACTGGCGAGGCAACTGGTGTGGCATGTTCATGTTCGGAAAACTGATGAGCTGGATTTTCCACCTTGGACTCTCTCCTTTCCATCCACCCAACCCCCCACCCACACTTGCAATGGCTGGCAGGTACTGGCACGAGTTCAACGAGTTCCAGTACCAAGTGTCCGTGCACCAGGTGAGGTGATTATGTAGCTATTTCCTGAGGTGCGTCCAGTGAGGTGCGTCCAGTGAGGTGCGTCCAGTGAGGTGCGTCCAGTGAGGTGCGTCCAGTGAGGTGCGTCCAGTGAAGTGCATCCAGTGAAGCGCGTCAGGCGAGGTTACACCAGGTGAAAAAGACCCCAGGTGGCCATCCAGGTGAAAAAGACCCCAGGTGGCCATCCAGGTGAAGGCTTCCGGTATTCATCTGGTCTGGATGGGGTTGGCAGCAGCGCAGTCGGACGCGTTGAGGCGCAGCTTTGTGCTCAACGACGCTCAACGGCGCATTCCACATCTGGCACGACGGGGACTTCACTTGTATGCCAGCATCCAGTTGTATCCCTCCCTCCTCCCCACACCCCCCACCCACCGACCTTGTGTCGTGACCATCTCAGGAGGCGAGGGATGGGCTACTGGCGTCCATAGAGGTGGCAGCAGCGCAGTCAGATGCGTTGAGGCGCAGCTTTGTGCTCAACGACGCATTCCACATCTGGCATGACGGGGACTTCGGCACCATCAACAACCTGCGCCTCGGCCGCCTGCCATCCGTGCCCGTGAGTGTGTTGTGGTGTGGTGTGGTGTGGTGCGAGATTGGCCTCCGTGCCTGTGAGTGAGAGGGATGGCTGCTGTCCGTGCCTGTAAGTGCGTACTGGGTTCACTCTCAGTGCTGGAGCCTTCCACATCGGGCACGATGGGGACTTAAGTGCCATCAACAACCTGCGCCTCGGCCCTCCGTGCCCGTGAGTGTGCTCTGGGGCTAGACCAGAATGCTTTCTGTGCCAGTGAATGTGAGCAAAAGCTGCTGTCTGTCTGTCTGTGTGTGTGTGTGTGTGTGTGCGAGTGCGGTCTGAGTCCACGCAAGGGTCATGTCCGGCTATTGGCACGACGGGGACTTTGGCACCATCAACAACCTGAGACTCGGCCGCGTGCCCTCCCTCTGCGCCCGTGAATGTGAGGGGCCGTTGCCGCGCCGCCTGTGCCTGTGAGCGTTTTCTAGTGGACTTGGAGGCATGCGGAGGGTTTTTCACTCTGGCATGCGGAGGGTTTTTCACTCTGTGGATCTATCCACATCACTCTGCCCTCCCCATCTGTTTGCTGTCTTGCCCTGTCTCTCCTCCTCCCTTTGCCTGGTCCGCAGGTGGAGTGGGAGGAGCTGAACGCGGCATGGGGGCAGGCGTGTCATTTGCTCTTCACACTCGCCCGCATTGCCAACTGCCCCGTCGCGTAATGCACCTTCCACCCACAGGGTGTGATGAGTCGATTTTTGAGTCGACTCAAAAATCTACCCACCCACAGGCTCTTTCCTCTGCTCTCTCACGGCCCGCACTGCCCAGCACCACAAATTTCCCAGCAGTGGGGTTCGCCCGACAGCGCTGCAATTCAACACCTACTGCGGCTTATTCGCCCTGCCCCTGTCGTACTATCACTCGTCTGTAGTCCGTTTGTGAATCTTACTTTTGAGACTACAGACGAGTAAGACTCGTAAGTAAGACTCCAGTCTCAAAAGTAAGACTTGTAAGTAAGACTCCAGTCTCAAAAGTAAGACTCGTCTGTATGTAGTCTGTGTGTGGCCTGTCTTTAGCATTACAGAATTATCAACTCTAATCCTCGTCACCTCCTCACCTCTCCGCCTTCGACCTCACAGCCATTCCCTTCACGTCCCTGCCACCCCCCAACCCCTTTTCCCCCGCTTCTTCCCTGCGATTCAATCATATTCGTTCCGTCTATCTTCCCTGTCTCCTGTCTCCATCTGCGTGTGCCCCTCCGCCTGCTGTGTATCCCCCTCGCCTCCTGGCCCCTGGCAGGCATCGCATCATCCCCATGGGAAGCTTTCCTCGAGTCTCTGACGGCCATAACCAGTTTGAGCTGTACGTGCTTGTATGAAGAAGTGTTTTAAGACGTCTCAAAACACTTCTTCATAGACGTGACGGCCACAACCAGTTTGAGCTGTACGTGCTTGCCATGTGCTCGGATCATGTGCTTGCCATGTGCTCGGATCATGTGCTTGCCATGTGCTCAGCTCACGCGCTTGCCGTGTGCTCAGCTCACGCGCTTGCCATGTGCTCGGATCATGTGCTTGCCATGTGCTCGGATCATGTGCTCGGATCATGTGCTTGCCATGTGCTCAGCTCACGCGCTTGCCATGTGCTCTGCTGTGCTGCTGCTGTTGGAATAGCACACATGCAACGCCACACATGCATCATAGCACACATGCAACGCCACACATGCATCATAGCACACATGCAACGCCACACATGCATCATAGCACACACATCAACTCTAGCATCCCTCCCTCATCCCCACACCGTATTACGCCTGCCATCCCACTTCCTTTTCCCTATCACCAGCTGTAGTCTATTAATCTGGAGCGCTCATAAACTCGTATATGACCATGTGTGACATGTATGAACTCGTGTATAACTCCCTCATCCTCAAATCAAACTGCTTCATCACTTCCTTCCTTCCCCCTCACCAGCTTCGGTCCAGTGAATCTGTTTTGGAGCACGCGCTACGACCGGGCCATGCTGCTCCTCCTGCACGCCCTCACGGAGTTCGCTTCTTCTTAGGCGCCTTCTGAGTCGACTCAAAGGTCCCCTCACGGAGTTCGCTCCTTCTTAGGCGCCTATATAACCTCGATCCCTGCCCCCGCACCCACTTGCTCCCTCCCCCTTCCTCCCCCCCCCCCCCCCTCACCAGCTTCGGCCCAGTGAATCTGTTTTGGAGCACTCGTTACGACCGGGCAATGCTGCTCTTCCTGCACGCCCTCACGGAGTTTGCCGCCTTTGCCAATGCACACGACCGTGCCAACCACCTCCCGCCTGAAAAGTCCTTCCAGCTGCCCTACAAGTGAGTGTCAAATCTCTAAAAAAATCTCCTTAGGCAACAACCAACCAACACTTTTATGCTCCCCTTTTGCTTCAGTCAATTAATCACTCCCTCCTCCTACGGACCATGCTTTCTTCATCCACCAATGCACCTCCCCCCTTCCACTCTTCCCCCTCCCCTCCTCCTCTTCTTTTTTCCCTACCCCTCACCTCCTTCTCCCACTGTCCCCCTCCTCCATGCAGGATCGAGGGGGACAAGATCCAAGGGCTGACAGTGAAGCAGAGCTTCAACCAGGAGGAGAGGTGGACCAAGGTGCTCCCCCTCTCCCCTCCCCCATTATCTCCTACCTTGCTTGCACTCTTCTCCTCCCAACCTCCCCTGGTCTCAGGATCGAGGGGGACAAGATCCAAGGGCTGACGGTGAAGCAGAGTTTCAACCGGGAGGAGCGGTGGACCAAGGCACTCAAGTACCTGCTGTGCGACCTCAAATGGGCGCTCGTGTGGACCATGACCAACTTCCACCCACCACTGCCCACGCCGCCACCTGCTATCCTGAACCTAGTTACACACCTTGACCAGAACAGCGCACCCTAGCTCGAGGCAGCGTTGTGAGGCGCCTCACAGAGCGCTCAAGTACCTGCTGTGCGACCTCAAGTGGGCGCTCGTGTGGTGTGGACCATGACCAACTTCCACCCTCCTCTCCCTACGCCGCCACCTGCCATCCTCAATCTAGTTTCGCACTTCGACCCAGCCTGACCTCCAACTAGACCCGCTCTAACTGGCGGTGGTTGGTCCGCTGTGCTCTGTCGGAGTACCTGCTGTGTGACCTCAAGTGGGCACTCGTGTGGACCATGACCGACTTCCACCCACCGCTCCCTGCCCTGCCCCGTCCTCAGCCATCCCTAACCTGTTCTCACATCCTGAACCCCTCAACTCAACTCACCCTAGTCTTGCGACCAACCCCCCTCCACCTGGCTTCATCCTCTCTCTCTCATCCTCAACCGACGTTAACGTATATCATTTTATCGTACTGTAGATTGGAAGAGACTATCCTATCCATGTACATACAGCTGGTAAAGAAGGTACTCATTTGAGCACACTGGTCACATCACTCCTTCCTCCTCCCCCCACTGACAGAAACTACTGCATTGAGTCCAAAGACTTTCATTTACTACTTCTGAGGCGCCTCAAAAGGCATCCACCGATTGACCTGCGTAACGTGCTGCAGTTGCCCCTCCACTTTACGAGCATAAGGACCGTAGTGCACTGAACTTCCATCTTTCCATTGATAATCCCAACAGACCAGCATCCCCCTTCACATCACACACTTGACACCCACCCGCAGCTCGTGGTGAGGCTTCAAGCTTAGAGATCCTCTAGCCTTAACTCCGCTTCACTCCTAACATAAGCCGTACAGAATAGCAATCTCCAGGACAGAGCTACCGTATCCCTTACTCTTGTGCTCCTGTTGCATCCCGCCGCACCCTCACTAGCCTTATCACTCAGCAGCATGCAGCACGCTATGCAGCACGCTATGCAGCATGCTATGCAGCATGCTATGCAAAATCGAGAACTGGGGTTTCCCTCTCCTTGCGCTCTTCCACCATCTCCCAACCCACCACCCCCCCACCCACCCCACCCAACACTCTTCTTGCATCACCCACCCCACCACCCCCCCGCCTCAGCAGCCAAGGTACCCTGTACAGCCTCAGCAACAGAGACTTCCTTCTCCTTGCGCCCTCCCTGCATCACCTCAGCCTCTGTCTTGCTTGCGCCCCTTCTTTGACTTGTAATACACGCCCACGAACGTGCCCACTGCTTGCTTTGCATACGCTGCATCCCGTCCCCAACCCCAACACCTCCACCACGACCCACACCTCAGTAACCACGGCACCCTAAGCAGCCCCCAGCACCCTAAGCAGACTCCGCAATGGCAACTTCCTTCTCCTTGCGCTCCTCCTGCAATACCTCTGCCTCTGTCTTGCGCCCCTTCTTTGACTTGTAATACACGCTCATGAACGTGCCCACTGCTTGGTACTTCTCCCGGCACGCAGCATAGAGGGACGCGTCAAACATACGCCAGAAGTCCCGCTCGTTCAGCTCTGTGACTGCATAGAGCGCCTGGTGGGGGAAGGGGGGGAGGAGGGGAGAGGCAGGGGGAGGGTTGAGAGAAAGGACGCTCATGAACGTGCCCTCTGCGCTGCACTTCTCCCGGCACGCAGCATACAGGGAGGCGTCAAACATACGCCAGAAGTCCCGCTCGTTCAGCTCTGTCACCGCATACAGGGCCTGATGGGAGAAGAGGGGGAGAGCAGGGAGATGCAGGGGGCAATGGTGGAGAGAAGGGACGACACGCTCATGCTCATGAACGATCCCACTTATCCGTACTTCTCCCGACATGCCCCGTACAGCGACGCGTCATACATGCGCCAGAAGAGACTGATGTCTGTGAACATCTGTGCATGTGCCGTGTTTCCATGCCGCCTGTGCTCCCAGGACCGGCCAAAACAAGCCACTGCTGCCAGCAAACACCACGCACCTGGAAAGAGGCGTTTTCGATAAGCCATTTCTCCATCCTTTGAACCGCCGCTACTCCATCGAACTCCTCCCCTCTCATTACGGCCCCCGGCGCATAGAAGAGGCCTATGTCTGTGAACATCTGTGCTGCTGCCATGTCGCCCTGCCGCCTGTGCTGTGCTGCTACCAACCCACCTGGAACAAGCCGCTGCCACCAAGCCACTTCAAACAAGCCCCTGCTGCCACCAAACACCACACACCTGGAAGGAGGCGTTCTCAATAAGCCACTTCTCCATCCTCTGCACCGCCGCTACTCCATCAAACTCCTCTCCTCGCATTGTGGCACCCGGCGCATAGTAGAGACCAATGTCTGTGAACATCCGCGCACCTGCCGTGACGCCCTGCCGCCTGTGCTGTGCTGCAACAAGCTGCTGTGACGCACCCACCTGGATTGACCCACCTGCTACAAGCTGCTGATGCCATCTGAGAGCCCTCAAAGCCCACCTGGAAGGACGCGTTCTCAATGAGCCACTTCTCCATCCTCTGAACCGCCGCCACGCCGTCAAACTCCTCTCCACGCATTACAGCCCCTGGCGCATAGTAGAGGCCTATGTCTGTGAACATCTGTGCCCTTGCTGTGTCGCCCTGGCGCCTGTGGTCCCGGAAGCCCGGCTCAGGGTTGATCATCTGCCGCATGGGGTGTGTGAAGAGGCGGTGCGGACACAACCAGATAGGGTACACCTGGGGGAGGTGGGGAGGGGGGAGTGGGGGAGGAGAGGGGAGAATGGGGGAAAGAGTGTTCGGCGCAGGTCATAAGAAGCCCGGCTCAGGGTTGATCATCTGCCGCATGGGGTGTGTGAAGAGGCGGTGCGGACACAACCAGATAGGGTACACCTGGGGGAGGTGGGGAGGGGGGAGTGGGGGAGGAGAGGGGAGAATGGGGGAAAGAGTGTTCGGCGCAGGTCATAAGAAGCCCGGCTCAGGGTTGATCATCTGCCGCATGGGGTGCGTGAAGAGGCGGTGCGGACACAACCAGATAGGGTACACCTGGGGGAGGTGGGGAGGGGGGAGTGGGGGAGGAGAGGGGAGAATGGGGGAAAGAGTGTTCGGCGCAGGTCATAAGAAGCCCGGCTCAGGGTTGATCATCTGCCGCATTGGGTGCGTGAAAAGGCGGTGCGGACACAGCCAAATGGGGTACACCTGGGGGAGGTGGGGAGGGGGGAGTGGGGGAGGAGAGGGGAGAATGGGGGAAAGAGTGTTCGGCGCAGGTCATAAGAAGCCCGGCTCAGGGTTGATCATCTGCCGCATGGGGTGCGTGAAGAGGCGGTGCGGACACAACCAGATAGGGTACACCTGGGGGAGGTGGGGAGGGGGGAGTGGGGGAGGAGAGGGGAGAATGGGGGAAAGAGTGTTCGGCGCAGGTCATAATAAGCCCGGCTCAGGGTTGATCATCTGCCGCATGGGGTGTGTGAAAAGGCGGTGCGGACACAGCCAAATGGGGTACACCTGGGGGAGGGGGAGGGGATTTGTGTGGATTGAGGAGGGAGGAGGGGTGGGGAGGTTTGGTTTGTTAGGCGCATGGGGTGTCACCGGCACATCCGCACGTCCTGGCCCACTCTATCGGCCGACCCTTCCACATCTTTCCCCCTCCCCTCTCCCACCCACTAATCGCACCTCGCATTCCTGCTCGTTCAATTCGATTCGAGCACGCCCGCCACCTTACACGGCGGCACGAGCATGTCCTGACACATTTCCCCGCAATCCCCTTCCACCCCCCTTTCCCTTTCTTCCAACTCTTTACCTTTCCGCTCTACAGCCCTCCCCGCTTCTCCCCCCCCCACTCCGCACCTCGAATTCCCGCTCGTTGAGTTCGAGCGCGTCCGCCACTTTGTAGAGCGGCACGAGCATGTCCTGACACACGTGCCGCTCGTGGTAGTAGTTCCGAATCGCCTCGCCCTGCGTGAGTTTCAAGAACGACACCTTAGGAGGCATCATCCACCCCAGAAGCACCCTGAACCACCATTGGTCGCCGAACGGCAGTATTAATTTCCCCTCCCAGTACAGGCTCCGAGTGTGGCGGTGGTAGTACTGGCGCGTCGGGATGTATTCGACAAACTCGCCGCGCGTTAACGCGTCCGTCGCGTGCTGGTAGAACCACCGCTTCCACCACCACCCGCAGTTGTTAATCACGTTCCCGGGCCGCGTCGCCTCCTCTCGCGACGCGTACTTCCCGGTCATCATCACCCCCTCGGACCGCGTGTACACCATCCCCTCCACGAAATCCGGAACCTTATCTGGGTTATCCTGGTCTCCGTCGCGCGGGCAGAACGAGTCGATATACGCCTGGGTCATTTCGCGCAGGGTGCCTCTAACGGGCGTGTATGTAACGCGCATGAACTCTTTAACGGGGATGAGGCGGATTTCGGCCGCGACGAGCAGCCCCAGCGTGCCCTGCGACCACGGAATCGCGTAGAAGAGATCCGCGTGCTCGTTGTCGCGCGTCGCGCGCACCAGCGTGCCGTCCGCCAGCACGATCTCGTACGCCTCCACCGTGTCCTGCGGGGAGTTGGCGAACGGCAGTGGGGAGCGACGGAAGAGGTGGGCGGTGGGAGGGGGAGGGTGAAGGGGACTCTCCGGAAAAGGAGGAATGGGCGAGGTAGAGGGGTATTTGAAATCGGCTCTAAAGGAACCAGCGCGGAAGTGGCGGAAGGGGAGGAACGGCGTGAGGGGAGCCAGGAGAAATTGGTCAAGAGAGGACGGAGGGACGGAAAGGGGCGGAGAGGGGTGGCACCTGGAAGAGGCCGTAGATGTGCGACGAGCCCTCGATTCCGTAGCCGTTGATCAGCCCGCCGACAGTGAGATCATCCAGTTCCGGGACCACTTCTAACGCGTATCCCAGCGGCACGGTCACGGCGCTCAGCTGCCCCATGCTCACGTACGGCTCGCAGCGCGCGATGCGGTTCACGGTATCAACGGCCAGGATCTGGCAGAACTCGTTCATGTCGACCTCGAAGCGCCGCGCGCGCTTGTAGTCGGAGTTGCGCATCGACACGGACAGCCACGGCTTGCGCGACGTGCACACCAGCCCGTCGCGGCGCCGGTCGCGCGATTTGAGGCGATTCACGAGCTTCTGCACCGCGGCCTGATGCTCGCGCTCGCGCTGCGCGAAGCTCTTGCGGTTCGACCACCAGTCCCAGAAGTCCTTGTTGCACTGGAAGGCGAAGGAGACGGGCAGGACGACGAATATTACGAGAATCCAGCGGAACTGCACCAGGAAATCCACGATGGACCATGGACGCTTCTTTCGCGGCGTCGCGGAGTTCCCCGTCAGCGGCTGCTGCAGCGACGGCGCGTCGTCCGCCATCGGAAGAGGCGATTCAGAGAGGACCAGTCAGTCGGAAATGTGGTGAGAACGTGAAAAAAGAGGGGAAATAGGGGTGAATGTGTGGGAAGAAATGTGGAAATTAGAAATTTGAATGTGCAAATGGAGAAGAGATGGTGGTTATGGGGATTGATACGCAAGCTGGGTGTGAGCTGAAATGGCGGCCCCCTATCCCAATGGATCAGTCTTCCCGCCTTGAATTTCTCTCCTGGTTTGGCAGGAGCTGCTCTATACCGTAATTTACCGTGTCGCAACGTAAAAAACCTTTTTTTCGACCATACTACAAGAAAGAAGCCAAAGCTGCAAGTGGGGGTCTGGCCTATGGGAGGAACCAACCAATCCCTGGCTGTTGCAGCGTTGGGGGATGCTGGGGGCCACTGGGAAGAAGCGGGAAGAGGGCGGGGGATTGGTTGTGTTGCGAGCGGTGCGAAGCGCGATTTGGGAATCCCGAGACATGTCGCCGACCGATGATTCTGCGACAGGACGGAGGAATCGCAGATGTCGCGGAACGTCGCTGCAAATTCAACCAATGTCAGATCGCCAATAACTGAGTTGTGTCCCAGATGGCGTGGTGTGATTCGGGTTCATCTGCGTCTCTGGAGGAGTTCGTCAGATCATTTTTACCCGCTGTGACGTGATCCGATGTCTTCTTTCATACCTATTGGGCTCATGTACACCTGCCACTTCAATAAAAAGCTCTGCTCCAACAAAGGGCCAGCATGCTGACCATTCAAATCGGTGGTACTCCACCATGCACTGGAGTTTGCCTATTCGCGATATAGTGTTGACGTCCTGTCAACTAGCGATGCAACCTTGTGCAGGGTACACGAGATCACAATACGCATTATACATAAACAATTGCGTTGCAACACACACCACGCCACCCCTTCCTGCGACAGCAACATTGCCTTCACTTCCCCTCCCGCTTCCTCCTCTCCCCCTCTCACCCAGAACCGCCTCCTACATTCGCTCTAAGCCCCCCATCTTAGTTTCCTTTTCTCCACCTCTTTCTGGCACACCTGCCTTACCCCTCCCCTAGAACCGGAACAGCTTCGTGCGGCAGGCATGGCTGAACAGGTGAATCGTTCTCCTTCTAGAGTAGGGAGCCGGCAGAATTTGCGCGTCCGCTTTGGTTCTGGTCGCGGAGGTTTTCGTGTCAATTTTAGGTCACAATAGCAAGGTTTACAAGATGAGCTCCCGTTTCGTATCCTCAGTTGCCAGGAGTTGTTCTCAACCGCTTTTTTAGGACTGCCTTAGCGTTTGTTGGTTATTGCGTATTAATTTGGCTTGATTCCTGAGGCCATTCCTTCTTTCATCGAGAAGCGCACCATTAGGGTTTGATGTGACTTCATCGCAACGGCATTATCCATCCGCTTTGTAGCCGTTTCCGTTGCAGAAGACGCTCTTTTCAGCATTCGGATTTCTTCATATTGTTGCCCTGATCAGATTCATACACTGGGGGTGCACAGTGTGGGGAACACTTTGCTAATGTAGCCGTGGTTTCGTGTTTTCTCGTCTTTGTGCTCTCTCTGGTTTCGATCATTCTAAGTACAGACGGAGCGCGCTTTTCAGAAGCAGCAGGGAGTCTTCCTCTGGTACGTAGATTCTTGGACTAGGTTACACTATGGGCTTGGCTACGTCATGGGTTTGTTCGCAAGAGATATAGCGCGTTATGTTCACGGCTTCACCATGGTGCCTTTCCTTCCCGTGTTTGTCAGTCATTCTCTGTAACTGTTATCTATCACCGCCAATTCTAGTTAGTCGCGTTAAGTATCAGCCACGCCGAGTCATTGTATCGAGGTGACTTTTCCGCTGACTTGTAAGTCACGTCATTTATATCTGAGGAGCGTGGATCAGTGATGTGAGCAGTCCAAGCGTTATTTTAGGGCATTTCTGCAAGTCTCCAGTGATTTCCGTCGTTCTGCTCACTCTCCCTCCTGGCCTTCATCCCTCTCCCACGCACTCAACGCTTCATTCCCTCGTCCCCCTTATCCCATCACCCCCCCGACCCCCCTCTCCCCGTTCCCGCGCTGCCGCCCGCACCTGCAATTTGCAGCGGCGACTACTCAGCGAAGAAGAAGCTGAGGACCCCGGGCAAGGCGGGTAACCGTTACTACAAGAACGTGGGGCTGGGCTTCAAGACGCCCCGCGAGGCCATCGAAGGTGCGAACGTGGTTTGCGGGGTGTCTGTCCGTATGTGAAGAGAGCGATTGAGGAAAGGGAAGAATTGCGGGTGACCATCTGTCCACCAAGCAGCATCCTGACCATCTAACCAGTCCTCAATGAGTCGTGACCGTCTGTCCACCCACACCACTCCTCGGTGGGCCGTTCGCTCTTCCTCGATTCCCCTCCCTCGGTTCCCCTCGTTCTCAGGGAGCACCTCCTTGTTGTAGGCTTGGTTTCGCACCTCTTGAATTCCTCACGTCGCGTGCACGTCGTTACACTGCGATTAACCCCGGCGCTTTCCACCGTCAGTTCCGCAACAATCCCCACCGCCCTACAGTACAATCCCCGTCCCTCATTCCCTCTTCTCGCTTGCTCCCAACCTGTTCCCCGCGCCAGGCACCCACATCGACTAGGGTTGTCTGGTTGGCCTTAATATACATCCTTTAACTCAATCCCCTCCCCCCCCCCACATCCCCCTCCCGCTTCCCCCCTCGTCTATCTCCCCTTCGTCTTTGCACCCTCTTCGCCGTTCCCCTGCCTCCTTCGATACCCTTCTCGCCTCTTCCCGCCGCTACGAACACGTCCATCGACAAGGTGCAACGTGCCTTGAGACGCTGTACAATCGTTTCTCCCTTTCCCCCTTCCCCCCCCGCTCCCCATTTTCCGCCACAGGCACCTACATCGACAAGAAGTGTCCCTTCACGGGCAACGTGTCGATCCGCGGGCGCATTCTGTCGGGCACGGTGCTGTCGACCAAGATGAACCGCACCATCACCATCCGCCGCGACTACCTCCACTTCGTGCGCAAGTACCAACGGTGCGTTATAACGAGTACGAACGGTGACTTATGACGAGTACTAAAGGTGAGACGCCTCGCACGTCTAATAACGCACGCCCCAAACGGTGAGTGTCAGTGAGCGCCATTTCGTGTGCTCCCCATCATCTAACCACCGACCTGTTAAATTCTTAACCCATATCTCCGCTGCCCCCACCTGTTTTCCTCGCCCCCTCCCCCTCCCCCTCCCGGGGGTGCAGGTACGAGAAGAGGCACTCGAACCTGTCGGCGCACGTGTCGCCGTGCTTCCGCGTGAAGGAGGGGGATCAGGTCATCGTGGGGCAGTGCAGGTCAGTGTGTGGGGCGGGGAAGGGATCATTGCTCGTCAGTGTGTGGAAAAGAGGGAGGAGGGGACAGAGTGCAGGTCAGTGTGTGGAAAAGAGGGGGAAGGGGACAGAGTGCAGGTCAGTGTGTGGAAAGGAGGGGGGCAGTGCAGGTCAGTGTGTGGAAAGGAGGGGGGCAGTGCAGGTCAGTGTGTGGAAAGGAGGGGGGCAGTGCAGATCAGTGTGTGGAAAGGAGGGGAGCAGTGCAGGTCAGTGGGCGCACGGGGGGCAGTGCAGGCCAGTGGACCCACTGGGTATGGGCGGGGCGGAAAAGGGAGGGAGGGGAGTGAGACGACCAGTGTGTTGCATGGTGGACCAGTACAAGGGGTATTAGGTCATCGTGGGGCAGTGCAGTTCAGTGGAGGGAGAGGAGGCGGGGGGGGGGGAATGACACTGATGGTCCGTCAGTGTGCTCTGCTGTATGGTGGGACAGTGAAGGTTATCAAACGCGGGGGGGCAGTGCAGGTCAGTAGACGCGGGGGGGGGGGCAGTGCAGGACATTGGAGCCACTGGGTGTGGGAGGGTGTTAGGGGGAAGCTACCCTCTTAGTTGGCCCAGTCAGTTAGTGCACGTCTGCGGGCAGCGCTCATTGCCAGGCAGTGCAAGTTGGTGGGAAGAGTGTAGGGAACGTTCTTGTATGTAGGTCATGCAGGGTGGGTAGTGTACTGCTGTAATTGTGGGCCAGAGCAGAGGATTGTAAAGAGAGAGATCAGGCTTTTATCACGCCTGGTACTAGTGTCTGTCCGCCTGTCATGGGTATGTGCAAACGATGTTAGTAGTGTTTTTGTGTTTTTGTGAGCAGGCCGCTGTCGAAGACGGTGCGATTCAACGTGCTCAAGGTGATTCCGCACGGCTCTGATGCCAAGACCAAGAAGGGATTCAGCGGCATGTAAAGCGCATTGAGGCACAGACCTTATATTGACTAGGAAGGAGCACCTTACAGTACCGAATTGGGAGGGTAGTGTATGCTGTGCTGCTCTGTGTCTTAGTGGCCTTCTGTATGAGTTGTTTTCAAAGGCAATGCTGCTCTTCACTGGATACGTGGGCCTACGCAAAATAGTGATTGTGCTGGAAAAGATATTGTGCAGACCGGATTATATAACTTAAAAGGCATGGCTGCCACATATGCTGTTGAAAAATCAGGTACTGGTAGTTAACACTTCAAAATATTTCAATAGCAGGTCGGATTTATGAATTATACGAAGGTGCTTTATTGTGAGTGTTTCAGAAATTTCATTACAGACAATCACCTTTGGTACAGCACTTAACGGATTACGGAGCGGCAGTTTTGCTATGGTGGTAATCCACACACTACCTCCTCGCCTCGTAATTCCCTGCTCCCTGGCCCCTGCTCTGTTTGCTTCGCACATGCACACGCGCGCACAAATCGTCCCCGGACAAGCGCGACACTCCCTCCGTCCCCCGCCTTTCCCCCCCCGCTCCCCCTCGTGCTGTTGAATTACTCCGCTCCCCTCCCTCCCACCTCCACCTTCCTCCTCTTCTTTTCTTTCCCTTGAAAGCCTTTTTTCTTTCCTTTCCCATCCCCTTTCCACCCCTTGTAAAATTTTGGGAGGACATCCCACACAAAGTGAGTAGCCCATTCCTCCGCGATTCGCGCGTGCTGTAGTTAGAAGAACCATGTATGCCGTCATGCAGTTGTAACAGCGCCGAGTCGCGGGAACCTGATGAATTGCGCACCCTTACTGGTTTTTAGGGTTAGCTTGTCCAGCGGGGAGATCTCGCTGAATTTTCGCGAATGGGCATTTCAGTGTCGGTGCATTTTCGGGCCTCCATTTGTTTGCCGCACAGTTAGACGATTGGCCATGCTAGAGACAGCGAGCTGAACAGGATTGCTTACTGAGTTTCTCTGCTTTCATCGCACCGCACCAAGATTTCCCTTCGTATCGCTGCTGTCAAACGTTACTGGACCTTATTCCATGATGCTCCTTTCTTGCCGCTCCCTCCGTGCTCTTAGCACCTCTGGCTGCTCTCTCAGCAGACCCTCGTCCTCTGCCCCACGTCCCCGTTCCCCGCATTCTCTTCCCCCGCATCCGCCCCGCCACTCCTTTCCCCATGACAGCTCCCCCTTCCATCGCCCCGTCCAGCTCCCTTTTCTCCTCCCGCTCCCTGCCCCCCCCCCCCCCCCCCGTTCCCCCGCCCCTTTCGAGGCGAGGATCGAGTCGATCGCGAAGAAGCGTGAGCGCAATCTGGGTTGCAGAGTTCTCTGCCTCAGAATGCCCCTCGCCCCCCCGTCTCCCCGTATCTCTCCCCCGTCCCGTTTCTTTTCCATCTTCCCTTCCCCCCCCCCCCAACCTCCGCCTCCTCCTCTCCAGCAGGTGAGTCAAAGATGAGTTCGGAAGCGGTGCCCGAGTCGATCGCGAAGAAGCGCGAGCGTCAGCCGCTTTAGAATGCCCCTCTTCCCCCCGTTGTTCCCCCCTTTCTCCCCCCCTCTCTCTCCCCCCACCCCCTCCCCCCCCTCCCCCTGCCCCCTCCCCCCGCAGGTGAGTCAAGATGAGTTCGGAGGCGGTGCCCGAGTCGATCGCGAAGAAGCGCGAGCGCGAGGAGAAGTGGGGCGCGGCGATCGCCAAGAAGGCGGCGGAGAGCAAGGCCAAGAACAAGCTCATCCGCAAGATCATCCACCAACGCGCCGCCGCCTATGACAAGTCGTACGCGCGCAAGGTGGGGCAGGGGACAGGGAATGACAAGTCGTACGCGCGCAAGGTGGGCGGCGGCGAGTAGCAAGTGCGGCCTATAGGCGGCGATCCTCACAGGAGCGCGCAGTTTCCGATTTCACGCGGCACGGACGATACTCATTTGCGGGTCTGACTTAGGTGGCGGTAGCTAGTTCTGTAGCGGTAATCACTGCAGCTGTGGAAATCCTTTGAAATGGAGCAGGGGTCTATAGGTCTCAAGCTGGTAGCAGGCCGCTGTCGACCGGCCTTCTAGGGACTCGAGTCCGGAGGGAGCAGCATGGGGCGATGTTCAGCGGCTGGGAACGTGCGGCGAGACGATGGCTGTGGGAAGGGCGAGGGTGTAGGATGCAGTCTCCAGCCGCCCGTACGGAGAGACGAGGTCGTGGGAAGCGTGATGGCGACAATAGGTCCCGTAGATTAGTCCGGAGGCGTATCAAAATTGCGGAGTAGGAGGCGAAAGCGTTATAGATAGGGAGTGAGCTGGGGGGGTGTACATCAGAGAGCAGGTTTTTGCGTCTGAGAATACGAGGGGCGCCCGGCTGGACACGTGGCTAGGCGCGCAGTGGGACGCGCGGTTGTAGGAGCTATTCGACGGGGAGGTAGGGTTGTGCTTCGTCCGACTTCGGCAAGATCGAGGCAAACGTTCTTTTCGTCTGCTGTCGATCTTTAATCAGAGTGAAATCTATCGGTTTCGTGCGATTTCTAGTGTGGCGAAACGAAAGCGAAGTTTTTATCACGAAGCGAGGGCTGCTTCGTCGGGCGAAGACGGCCGACACGCGTTCCTCATTCATTTGCGCCCTTTGGTCAGCAAAGCGCTGTGTGTAAGCATGACCAACGACTCCTCGTGTGTGTGCCTGTTTTCTGCGCCTCCCTCGTCCCTCCCTACCCTCCCCCTTTGCCCCCGCTCTCTCCCCCGCTCCTTCCGCTTTTCCCGCAGGAGCGCGAGCTGGTGGAGCTGAAGCGTGAGGCGAAGCTGAGCGGCGGCTTCTACGTGGAGCCCGAGCCCAAGCTGCTCTTCATCATCCGCATTCGTGGGTGAGTCGCTTGCGGTTGCCTCCGGTTGCATCCGGTTGCTTCAGGCTGCAGGTCTTTCTGAGAGCGCCCAAACACGTTCTACGTGGAGCCCGAGCCCAAGCTGCTCTTCATCATCCGCATCCGTGGGTGAGCGTCCCTTCTTCACCTGCCCCTTGCCTGAACTCTACTCCCCACCTCTCCCCGCTTCACCTCCCGCTTCCTCGCTCCCCCGTCCCCCCGCGCAACCCCTTTTTCGTACGTGCTTTCCTCTATTCCCCCCTCCGCTGGGTCTTTCCGACCGTGCATACTGCTGCCATCTCTCGCTCCACTTCCCCATTTTCCGGGCTGCATTCATGTGTATCTACTCCCTTCTCCCACTCATTCATGCCTCCCCCTTCCCCTTCCTCCCTCTCCCCGCCCCGCTGTTGCGCGCGTGCCAGTGTGAACGACATGCACCCCAAGACGCGCAAGATTCTGCAGCTCCTGCGCCTTCGCCAGGTGAGAGCAGAACCTTCTCGGTCTCCTGGTTGCGTGCTTGGTGCACCTAAGAAATAGACGCGTTCACGTGCGTGCAGCTTCTGCCCTTCCGCCAGGTTAGAGGATGGAGCTTTCTCCTTCCCCCCCCCCCCCGGTTGAAATCTTTACACACCTAAGAATCAGTCGCGCAACCTTTTCCCTCGTCACTTCACCTCCCCCAGACACAGCACCCTCCACTTTCTCCTTTTTCGCGGACCATACCTTCACTCCTCCCCAACCCCCACTCCCCCGCTCCACCCCCCTTTCGCCTCCTATCCTAAACTCCCGCCTTGGCCGCTATTGCTGTCAGATCTTCAACGGAGTGTTCCTGAGGGTCACCAAGGCCACTCTGCAGATGCTGCGATTGGTGGAGCCCTACGTCACCTACGGGTGAGCCCGTTACTGTCACTAACGCTGCTTTGATACTGTCACCTACAAGCCCTAAGTCTCGCCATTGCCGCATCTCATGCTTTTCCACTCTTCACTGGCTGCACTGCGCTGTGTGCCTTTCAATGTTGTTAACCACCTGGAAAATCTCCTGTGTCCCACAGCTACCCGAACCTGAAGTCGGTGCGTGAGTTGATCTACAAGCGCGGGTACGGCAAGGTCAGGCACCAGCGCATCCCCCTCACTGAGAACTCGGTCGTCCAAAAAGTGAGTCTCCTCGCATGTGCCCCATCTCCTGCTGTTGCTACTCCCTCTCTGGCCCTGAAGCTTTGTACTTCAATTCTAATAACAGGTTTCCTGTGTATCTCACAGGAAGCCCCTCCAGCTCTCTTGCACCTCCCCCTGGTTCAGAGTTTGGACCTGTTTTGAAAGTGCTTGATCCTTACTTTAAATTTGTATCCCTGCCACGCTGTCCCACCCAAATCTCTCAGGTGCTGGGGCAGAAGAAGATTCTGTGTGTGGAGGATTTGATTTACCAGATCTTCACGACGGGCCCGCACTTCAAGGTGTGCAACAACTTCCTGTGGCCGTTCAAGCTGTCGGCGCCCAACGGTGGCATGAAGAAGAAGCGCCTGCACTTCGTGGAGGGCGGCGATGCTGGTAACCGTGAGGACAAGATCAACGCGCTCATCCGGCGCATGAACTAAGCGGAGTGTTAGAACAAAAACGTTTTGTGACATGAGCATTAGTGGATCAGATTTCCAGGCTTGTAAGAAGATAGGGCTGGTGGTATGTCCTTCGCCTGCAGTTCTTCCCGGGCAATCTCCTTGTGCTTGCACTGCTGGCTTGTATGATTCCGGCAGTGTCAAAGTAATGAGAAGACATTGCTCCTGCATTGTTCCCCTGAAACACATCATTTGGGTGATGTTTCATATCCGCTTGGGTATTGCACGCTGCAATCTGCACACCAGATATGCTGGTTTCGCCACAATTTTCCCCTTTCGGTAGTCTGGGTTGTTGCTTGAACGTCGCAGACTTTCGCGGATCATTTTCGCACAAATTCGTCGCGATTTACTCGCAAAGCCGCGACGGCGCTGTTCACTGCTGCTGCTTTGGAAGTCTTCGAGATTCCGTTTCCAGCCACCTCGACATTTGAGGTCCAAAATCTGCCATGGAACATTCTAGGCGCAGCCCTGGCACATCGCGACACGCTGCAGAACTGTTTCCCGCATCGCGAAAACAACGTCCAAGTTTCGCCAACCACAAGTGCCGTCGTCAGCGAATGGCTGTTGTTGAAGCTGATTCGCGCGAGGAAGCCTGTTCCCCGGCGATCCTTCGCGTAACCACGTTCCTTCCATCATCCAACTCCTTCCCCTCCCATCCCTACCCTATGCTGCTTCCGTTCCGCCACTTCAACTTTCCATCTTCCATTACACGAAAGTGAAACAGGTGACTTGCAACAAGAAGTCTGCATTTTGTCCGAGAGTTCTCAGTTTCCGTTTCTCGTGGGATTTCCCTCACGTTGTTTTCTAGTAAGCTTAGGGTTGTTACAAAGTCTCGTTAGGTGGAAGACTAACTAGTTTTGCCTCTTTCGATCGGCCTTAGCTCATTTTCCGGACTAGCAGCAGTTCCTTGATTCGACTTCTCTGCCAGAGGCGAAACCATCGAGTCATAAATGAGTCATATCCTGCTCAGCGCTTCCCTTTCCCTATTCATACTTTGACAGTTACTTTGTAACGACATGGCCTTTCATGTTTTCCCATTTCGTAGATACGGCGTTTGTGTATCTTCTGACTTTCCGTTTGCTCTCCTTGTTCCGTATGATGTAAAACAAGTTTTTCCTTAACTGGTTGTTCTTCTTGTGTTTCTAACAATGTACGCGGCAATCAGCGAGAGGTTGATCGCGCCAGGGCCCAGGCCCGTGCAGCAAAGAACGGCGCGAACAAGAAGGCCGACGGTCTGACCCCAGAGCAGCGCCGTGAGAGGTAAACCTCCCGTTTTCCTTGTCATACGCTCATGCACACAACTTAGAAGAGGGACGAAACAGGATGGTACTCTTGTCATTCTCTGACCCCCTGAATGGCTGTATTGATGGTATATTTGTTTTTCATCTTTCGTTTTTCCTGTTTCGTTCTTGCCTCCAGGGACGCCAAGGCTCTGCAAGAGAAGGCTGCGAAGAAAGCAGCTGCAGCTGGTGGTAGTCAGTCTAAAGGAAAAGGCAGCTAGGAACTTGGATATAGGATTGCTGTACCACACTTGGTCATACAGACGGCGGAGTGACACACCTGTAGTGTCATTCTCTTATATCTATCACATTGATTAATAACAGAGGCCACTCACTGTCATACAAACTACAAATATCGGCAAGCAGAAGATGGTGGGGTGTAGATGTGGGGATTCTTCTAGAGGAATGCTGTCTCGCACAATTTCACAAGAAAGTCATCTCCTCCACTCTCCTGCTGAATGCTCGGTCATTCTCTTGGCTTTCATGTCCTTCATCCACCCAAACAACCCCTGAAGGGGTTGCCATACTTTCTCCCCTTCACACAGCCCACCATCCCTCCGTTCCTCTACACCCGAGCTCACCACAAATTCTAAACCGACGTCACCGGGTGCATCATTGGTTGCAGCCACTTTCCCAGCATTGCCAGCTCCAGGATCAGCAGCTGCTGCTAAGGATGCTGGCACGCCAAACCCCTCGCGCATTCTAGCGACGTCGTTGGATAGAGTGGACGACATGGTAGCGAGGAACACTGTAGAGCGTACACAGATGAGCTTGTCAAGGAGCATGTGCAGGAGCAGGGAAGCTTCCTCTCGATCAATGGAGGCAGGGAGGCTGGAAAGGAGAGGCTCTGAAGTGAGGGTTGTGAGAAATGCTGATGGGTTGTCTGGGTAGCGAATGACCTTGAAGGCAGAGCCTGCTGCCCTTTGAAACTCTTCAAACTGACAAGAGCCGGGGAAAAGGAGGTTCGGGGGGATTACATGGGAACGGGAGGCAGGTGAGAAAGGAGGAGCATTTGAGGAATGGAGGGGCAGCTGAGCACAGCGGAAACTTGAAATCAGAGCAAGCAAGAACAAGATTTTGTTACTGAAAAAAAAGGTAACACCAACTGACCTGCTCCACATTGGCGTCAGAAGCAACATAAATACTCCTTAGCCCGTTGCGCCGTGCCACGTCAGCAGCACACTTGCCAGCCTGTTGCGCAGAGTAGAAGCAGAAGCCAGAAGGCCCCGACCACACGCAGTAGTCCTTGAAGTCACTGCGCCGCCAGTGCACCGCCAGGTACCCCCCTCCTCCCCCGCCCTCTGATGCACCGCCTGATCCTGCGGGTGAAACGGCGGGGAGATTGTCCCCTGCTGCCCCTCCTGCCCCTCCTGCAACCGCTGCAAGTGTATCGTTCGAGAAGCTGCTATCCGTGCCCTCGTCACCCCCACCCCCGCTGCTAGCTCTGGTACCGCTCTCCCCACCAAACAGGGCTTGTGCGAGCCGCCTACCATCCTCAATAATCTCCTTGGGGGGCAGAATGGGCACGGGAACCGGACAGCCAGGCAGGTAGTGGAACACGCTCCTCCATTCTCTCAGACCCCCCTTTCCTGCACTCCCAAGCCAGCGCCCCCCAGCGGGCCCAAGGAAATCAGACTCCAGAATCACCTGGCTGCTGCTGCTGCTGCTCGCAAGCATGCCAACAAAATTGCTCGTCGAGGTGCCCTCCCTTTCCTGTGAAGCCTCCTCGCGCTCGCGCCATCGTTTGTACCGAAAAAGACGCTCCTTGAATTGCTCGTACCTGGCAGAGAGTGCGGGAAGAGGGGTAACACAAGGGCTTTCACTATGAGCACAAGGGCAAGTTCAGAGGCGCGTCAAAATCAAGTGCATGAATTCAAGGGCCTTCTCTGTGATCACAAAGACGGTAGCTTCTCTCTCATAGAGAGGGGTGTCTTCTGAGAGCATTCTGGGCCGCCTCAAGATGTACCTGTCAGAGAGCTGTTTTTGAGAATGAATAAAACCAGCACATCTCGGGTCGCCTCAAGACGTACCTGTCCGAGAGGCCGAGAAGGGCGGTGAACAAGGTCCCCGACAGCGAGTACAGAGACGGAGGCGGAGAGCAGAGCATAGGCGCAGAGGATGTCTCGCACGTGGACAAAACGGGGAAAGCACACTGCTGACGCTTTGTAAGGCGCCCAAAGAAACGCACCTGTCAGAGAGGCCGAGAAAGGCGGTGAAAACGAGGCCCCCCACGGCGAGAACAGGAACGGAGGCAGAGAGCGGGCCATAGGCGCGGAGGATGTCTCGCACGTGGACGAAGCGGGGGAAGCACACCGCTGACGCCTTTTGAGGCGCCTCAAGAAGCAACATACCTGTCTGAGAGGCCAAGGAAGGCGGTGAAGACCAGGTCCCCCACAGCAAGCACAGGGACGGAGGCTGATAATGGAGCATAGGCACGGAGGATATCCCGTACGTGGACAAAGCGGGGGAAGCACACTGCAGACGCCGTGGCGCTGGCGCTGATGTGCACATCTGGGGAGAGCTGGCGGGGCAACAGGTGCAGGTGCGCCGCAGAGGTTTGGAGGGGCGAGTCGGCGAAGGAATGGACTGTGTAGAGCGGTGGGGAGCGGTTAGCGGAGGGGGTGTCTTGCAGGGTCCGCTGCTGCAGCAGCTTTCTTCTCCTGCTCCCTCTCACCCACGTCATCTCACTCCCTCCAAACCACCCTCTCACAGCAGCAGCCGCCGCTGTTCCCGTTCCCACTCCCACTCGAGACAGCTTCCTCAATCCCCCAGACACTCCCGCCAGCCTCCTCCTCTTCCCACCGCCCCCCTGTGTCGTGTCATTAACCAAGCAGTTCTTCAGCAGCCCAGGATTTCCCATCGGACACGTCGCTTCTGGCCCGTGCCAGCACCGCAGGTGATGCACCTCCAGCGGGCGGCCGAACCGGGCGGCAAACTCGTCCGTGCGCAGGACAGTGTCGCCGCCCAGACACGTGCGCGTGTGCGCGAGGTCCCAGATGAGGGGGAGCGGGACGGAGGGGCAGGGGGAGCCGGAGAGGCCGTGCTTGCAGTAGGCGAGGGACGTGGAGAGCAAAACTGGAGGGACGAGGAGCGTGCGGTTGAGCAGCGCGGCGAGGATGAGGTGGCGGTAGAGACAGCCAATGCGGTTGTTCACCTGGCGGGCACATGGGGAAAGAGGAGAGGAGTCGGGTGGACAGGTCGGGTGTGGAAAGAACGGTGGAAACGATGTGGGTGGAAAGGCTGGGGGGAGGGGGGTTGAGGTGGAAAAGAACGAGGGTGGTGGAGAGGAGGGGCAGAGAGCAGTGGGAAGGATGAGGCAGACAATGCAGTTTCTGGGGAATAGAGGGAGGGAAGGAGAAGTGAGAGAAGGAAGGCAAGTGCATGTGAGTGACATGTCATGGGAACGCATGCGTTTCACGAAAGAAGAGCGTAGCTGTTTTCAGTGACCTCGCACCTTACCCCCATTCTAACTGCTAATGACCGGACCATCACCCACCTGTGACTCACCTGACCTCGCAGGCACACGGCGAGCAGGAACCTGTCAGGCTGTGGCGTCCACACCAGCTTGCCATTCCACATCCCTCCCTCGCCACCACTCAGCGACCCCCTCTCTCTCTCTTCAGATCCCTGTGAGCCCTTCTCCCCCAACCAACTTCCCTCCCACGTCTCACCTGGCCTCGCAGGCACACGGCGAGCAGGAACCTGTCGGGCTGTGGCGTCCACACCAGCTTGCCACGCCACATCCCACTACCCTCACCACCGCTCAGCGACCCCCTCTCACCCTCCGATCCCAGTGAGCCTTTCTCCACCCCAGCATGAAAATCTGCTACTACTGTATCCGGGCCGTGATGGCTCGGGTCGGACTCAGGGTCGGAATGAGGTTCGGGGTCCGCTGCATTGTGCTCGTGACTGGTAGTGGAAGGCGAGCCTGATGCCTGCACCCAGGGGGAGCCATTCTGGGTCTGACCTGGCAGCAGCTCATTGGCTGATCCGATGGATAAGTCTACGGCATCCGTTGATAGGAGCGAGTCAGGTTGCAGGAAAAGAGTGTAAAGGACGACGAGGAGGAAGGCGAGGGCAAGGAGGAGGAGGACAGAGGGAGACCACAAGACTCTTGAAATCGGGGAATTACTCGAGAAAGGCCAGCTTGAAAGCTTGAGACTCTGGGAAGAATGGGTGGAATCAGTAATCGGACTCCCATCTTTCAAAAGTAAGCTATCAGAGTCTTTAAGGGAGGAAATGATCTCCTCCTCGTCCTCCTGCTCCTGTTGGGGCTGCTGCTGCTGTTTCAGCGGCGACGCATAACGCTGCATCGACGATGTTGTTCTTTCGCATAGGTCCGGTCCGAGCATGGAATGTAGGTCCGGTCGAGCGACGCCATTGGCTGCTCCTGCTGATGAGTCAGCAGGAGCTCCGGCACAATCTGTATCAAGGTCTCTCCGTACGTGCTTTCCGGAATCCATGACCTAGCTCTTGCTAGCCGAGTATCGATATGCACGAAGTGATTATGGAGTCGAGAGAGAAATTCCCAAACAGCTTCTTGTCAGCCGAGTCAAGAAACCCGCACAATCTGTGTCCTTTCTGGTGGGTATCGGCAAGTACGACGCGTTATTTGAGCCGACTCAGAAATTCATCAACAGATTCTCGGCACCAGAGTTCAGCATGACTCCAGCACAATGGGTGTTTTACCAGCTGAGTGCCGAGCCGTGGAAGGACTTTGCGCCGACTCGAGAATCCATGGACTGTTTCTTGTGAGTTTCAACGGACCCTAATCACTAGGTCATGCGCAGTAATCAGGCTTGAAAGGCAGCATTTTGTCGTGGAGCGCCATAAGTGGAAGTCACGAGTAAGAGGGTCCAATAGATAAGTGCCAAACGCTTCGGGACAGTAGACTCGCTGAGATTCTCAGCTGGTCACGAGGACTGGTCACGAGAGAGCAGGGGGGGAATTTCGGAATGCCAGGTGCGGGAAAACTCGAGAATCTGTTTTTTGGCAGACTACTCTCCCCTTCACCCCTGATTCTTGATTCCTACGTACGATGGACACTGTGCCTTGGGAATGACTTCGACGACGTGTGCGACATCTTGCGAAGCTGTGTCAGTTGCAACTCGGCGGAAGTCGGCCGGAAGGGTTGATTGAACTGATAGATGCGTGCGTGATATGGTGCGCCGCAGGTGGGAGAATGTACACCACGATTAATTGCTTTATTATGATACGATCAAAGAAGCAGCCTAACCACTACGCAAGGGACTACAAGACTAGGTACATCGATCAAAGCTCACTAGGAGATTTACCATTCTCCCTTATCATTCGAAAGAATCCTCAAAGCCTTCAATTGTTGGAGCTTCTTGGGTAAGCCATCCATAGGATGCCACTCTTTCTGCCCCTCACACAGAGCACCATCCCTTCCCTCCTCCACTCCAGTACTCTCTCCAAAATCAACCCCTTTTCTCACCTCCGCACTCTCCCCCACTGCTTCCTCCTCTGCTCCAACAGCAGCAGCAGCAGCCATCGCAGCAGGAATGCCAAGCCCCTCCCTTATACGAGCAACATCGTTAGAGAGTGTAGATGATGGTGTGGCTAAAAACACAGTGGAGTAAACACATATAACCTTATCCAATATGGTGTACAGCAGGCTTGCTGCGTCTTTGAGGAAAGCCCCATGCCTCAGCCCCAACAGAGGATCTTGATGTGGGTCCGGCAATAGAGGGGATGGGGAAGAGGGGAGTCTCGCCACCGTGAACTCTGGACCCAATGTCTCTCGAAACTCTTGGAACTGTAGCCAATCAAAAGACGAGAAGCAGAGGGAATGTGGAAGGGAGCATAAGTGAAACGTGGTGGGAGTGAGACAGAGGCACACACAGAGTAAGAAAGGCAGAACAAGACAACAGATCCGCACCCATCCAACTCACCTCCTTGTCTTCAGCATCCGTTGCCATGTAGACGTTCACGAGCCCGTTGCGGCGCGCCACGTCAGCAGCGCACTGCGCGGCCTGCACGGGCGAGTAGAAGCAGAAGCCGGGCGGCCCTGAGCGCGCACAGAACTGCAGGAAGTCGCCCCGCCGCCAGTGCACTGCCAGGAATGCTGGCAGGTTTGCCGGAACAGGCAGGTCAGCGTCAGTCGATGCTCCAGTGTCCCCTGCTTTACCCTCCCCTGCTCGAACCTCCTCTGTTGAGACGTCACCACCAGAATGACCTGTCTCCGATTCCGCAGAACCGCCCATATCAGATGCACCACCATCCACCATTGCTGCACCAAAGAGGGATCGGATGATGGCTTGAGCTCGCTGGAAGACCGCCGGGGGCGGGATGATGGCCGCTGTGTTGCGGCACCCGGGCAGGAACTGAAAAATACTAAGCCAATCTCGGAGACCGCCGCTGCCCGAACTCCCCAGCCACCGGCCACCGGGTGGGCGGACGAAATCCTTATCCAGCCAAAGATTCCTCCCTCTGGAATATCCATCCCCCAGGTTAGATGATCCATCTCTGCCTCGAGCCGCAGATGAGCCTTCCACTTGAAACCCCTTCTCTTCTACTTGCCCCTCTCTCCCACCCAACCCCCTGCCCTCCCTTTTTCCTGCCCCACCCTGCTGCTTTCCCCCGCTCTCCTCCCACCTCCGCGCCCTCTGCTGCAGCAGCGCGTACCTGTGAGGCAGGCCCAGCACAGCCGTCCCCACCAGGTCCCCCACAGCCAGCACTCGCACAGACTCCCCTAGAGGGCCGTACGCACGGAGCACATCAGAGACATGCACGAAGCGCGGCAGGCAGAGCGCAGAGGCCGTGGCGGAAGGCGGGATGGAGACGGCACCAGGCTGGTGCAGCATTATCATGCGGATGGGGTCGATGGGCGTGGGACGGATCGGCAGCGAGGTGGAGGATGCAGGGTTGGAAGGGGAGGACGAGGAGGTGGAGGTAGAGGAGGAGGAGGAAGAGGAGGAGGAGGAAGAGGAGGAGGAGGAAGAGGAGGAGGAGGAAGAGGAGGAGGAGGAAAAGGAGGACGAGGAAGAGGAGGAGGAGGAAGAGGAGGAGGAGTGCTTGAGCGTTCTCCCTGTGAGCTGCAGCAGGTGGTCTCCCACAGTTGTGGGCTCGTCCGACAGGGAGGGCGAGGTTAATGACTCCGTATCTTTGGACGACTCATCAGCTTCAGACACGCCACTGTGAGGCTGCAGAGAAGACCCGTTGAGCAGCATCGCATGCACCACATCGCTCGCCACTCTCCGCCCGCCAAACTTCTTCCGCAGATTCTCAGCCACGTAACTCAGCGCCGTGCCCACCAAACAGTTCTTCTTCACTATGGGATACGTCGGGTGGCAGAGCCCCTCCGGCCCGTGCCAGCACCGCATGTGGTTCACCTCCACTGGGCGGCCGAACCGGGCGGCAAACTCGTCTGATCTGATCACGGAGGCGGCACCCAGGCAGCGTCTCGTGTGGTTGAGGTCCAAGAAGAGGGGGAGCGGGTAGGAGGGGCATGCGCGGCCGGATGTGCCCCGCTGGCAGAGCAGCGGGGTGAGGGAGGGGAGGCGGGCCGGGACGAGCAGCGTGCGGTTGAGCAGGGCTGCGAGGATGAGGTGGCGGTAGAGACAGCCAATGCGGTTGTTCACCTGATGGGCACGCAGGGGGAGAGGAGAGGGGTGGGGTGCAAGTGAAGAGGGGAGTAGAAGTTGAGCGGAGCGAAAAAGGATGAGGTGGTGGCGGTAGAGGCAGCCAATGCGGTTGTTCACCTGAGGGGGGGAAAAGGGAGAAGGGGAGAGGGAAAAGGGAGAAGGGGAGAGGGAAAAGGGGAGCACAAAGGAGTGGTTGAGGAGGGCAGCAAGGATGGGGCAGAGGCAGCCTATGCTGTTGTTTACCCACCGGGCACGAGGGTTGAGAGGAGATGAGTGGGGTGGACAGGCAGAGAACAGTAGAAGGGGAGGTGAGTGGAGTGAAACGGATGAGGTGGCGGTTGAGGCAGGCAATGCGGTTGAATGCGGTGGTTCACCTGCCCGCGCACGCACACTGCCAACAGGTACCGGTCCGGGTGTGGGTGCCACGTCAGCTTTTGAGGCGCGAACGGAGAAGAGGAGGAAAAAGAAGAGGAAGCAGGAGTGTGGATGTCAGGGGAGGGAATGTCGGTGGAAATGAGAGGAGTAGCGGAATCGCCATGATTGGCTGTTGGATCAGGTATGGGCTGGTCTTGAGGCTGCTGGTGTTGCTCCTCCTGCTGTTGCTCCTCCTGCTTCTCTTGTTCCTCTTGCTCCTCCTGCCTCTGCTCCTCCTCCTCCTCCTCCTCCCCCTCCTCTTTCTGCTGCTGCTGAACCACATCATCCCCCCCGTCGTCTGCTCCACTTCTCCCTATTCTGATCCCCTCTGTGTCTCCCCCAAAGCTGGTTTCGCTACGTCCATCCGCACCGTCCCTCCATGCTGACGTGTCCGGATCCTCTTTCCCTAGCTCCGTCTTCAGCAGCCGAATGATGGAGGAGGGATGCTCGTTAAACCCATCCAAGGTTGTTTTTACAGCGGTTCTTGTGGTGGTTGGAGCGGGTAGCGGGAAAGTCAAACTATGAGGTGTTTTGGCAGCGGGATGAGGGAGGGGAGAGGTGAGTTGGCTTGAGCTGCGATCGTGAGACGCGGTGGGGGAATGGAGGAGGTGGAGGTGGTGGGAGAGGATGAGGAGCGAGGAGGGGAGCAGAAGAAGCAAGAGGGCAGCGAGCAGCCATCGCCGCGGCGAGCGCCGCGCGACGGACTGGGTTGGAGCAGCGCTGCGCGGAGCCATTACACTGATGATTCTTGTGGCTTTTGATTTGAGGCGCCTCAAATGACGGGCTGACCGGCGGGAACAGTGCTACGAGAGGCCATAATCCAGATGGACGAGATCGGGCCGTACGAAGAGCGGGAAGGGACGGCGATTGCGAGAGGTCATTGGTATATAGTTGGGCTCGCGAATCGACTGGAAAAAATCTGCGGTGCGTGAGAGTAGAATTGGAATTGACTGGTACATCCAGGCGACTGCTGTGGAGTCAAGAGGCTGATCAAGCAGGTAGTCTTGTCACGCTTGACAGGAAGCGTGTGAGGAAGGAAAAGGGAAGCAAACGGAGCACCGCGACGCTTGCGGGATTCGTGACAGCAGCTTGCGACGGCGGCTCGTGACGAGGTATGTGGTGTTTCGAGTGACGGCACGGACTAGCTACAGAGAGACGCGGCGACCATCATGAGGAGGACGAGCTGGCAAGGAAGCATCTGTGGCCACTCAACAACACAACTGATATAAGGGCGTGTCCAGCTCGTTCATTTCGGGAAATCTAGTACCTCCTCACGATCCGGGGTTCAAAACTGAACACTGTACCTATAAACGAGAGTGCCTTGCTCGAGTCCACCCTTTCTGTCATTCTGGCGCGCGGACACCATCCCCCCACACAGACTTCAACAGTGCAGGGGCCGTGTGGCAACCAAGGTAAACAGTTCCCTCGTCAACCAAAGCGTTAGAATTTTCGCCAGGCCAACACTTCCACTATAGGTTTTGGCGAGTGTCAGGCGGCACATGCGAAATCAAGCTCGCGATACGATGGGCACTCACTGTAGTGGGCAGGACGCGGCTCTGTACCATTGTTCGATGCGCACGCTGATTCCTGTAACGTGCGTCACACGATTCGAGGTACGTGCAGGGGGTGTGCCGTATCGTGAACGGGAGCTGATCGTGTCTGGCATTTTTGTAAAACTCAGTGTTACAGCTCAAATTGTGGTAACTGAAGGGCTTTACGAACAGTAAATGAACGAGCTGGACACCCCCTAACCGTTTCAGTAAGTTCAGGGCGTGTTGGAATCTGTTGAAGCAAAAGCTGGTGGAGCAATGCTCTCAGCTTTCGTTCTTGAGCAATGCTGGACATGCTTTGTAGTGGTGATGAAACCGAGGGACCCAGTGAATCATACCAGTATGACAAATGTGGAGAATCCGCGTTACTGGCTATAAGAATCATCAGGCAGCATGTCACTTCATTTTGTATGGATCTTGAAGTGAAGGAAATGCTGCAACTTATGTGATAGAACCATTGGAAGGTAAATATTAATTAAGATTACAGCAGGTAATGGTTTACGATGCTAGAGATCGAACTCCAAAATCGCTCGTGAATGCTCCTTCACTGAAAAGGTAACACCAACGCTGGTAGGCTGAAGGGCATTGCGCCTAACAAACTGATCCATCTTCGCGTCTTTGAGTCGGAATTGAAACGAACAAGCCTGTTGGCCTGGAAGGGATCTGCATCGAACAAAAAAACAAAACAACACAGGTCAATATCAGTATTTTCAACCCAGCCCACGCTACAAACATTAACATACACAAAAGAAGCCGGTATACACCCTTACCGTTGTCGTTTCAAGCCCCCCAATCGGCGCCCCATCCTCCCTCTCGGTTTGTTCTCCGCTGGAGTGTGTCTGAAGCTGGCCAGTTTCGCAGCCACCTTGCCCATCGCATCCTTCCCCACCGCTGAGTACCGTAACACATGTGAAACATCAGTAGCAAACGACAGTCCACTCATGCCGCTACTCCCACTCCTGATGTGCATCTCCCCTGCAGCCCCATCCCCTGTATCACCTAACTCGTTTCTATCTACACCACCACCACCATAACGCTCCCCTTCTCCATCCCCATTGCCTGCATCACCACCTTCAGAACCCTCAGCCTGCCCCAGATCCTCAGCATCACAATCTTCAAAACCCTCAGCAGCATTCCCTCTGAAAAACGCACTCCCCCGTGCCAGATTTCTCTTGCGATCCCCTCGCACTGTGCCGGTAACGTCACCCACCCCCCTCCCTCTGCCACCTCGTGCTGCTCGTCCTGCAGCACCAGCATTCAAACCCCTACCAGGAGGCAGACCAGCTACCGGCATCCTGAACACAAGACCCTGCCGTCCAGGTGCATTGAATCCTGCCCTACCAGGCCCCTCATCCTCCTCCATACCCTCTGCCTGCACTGCAGAACCAGCCCGTTCTATCCGAGCTGCCCTGTCTGAGCCACCTGCCCCATTGGGCCCATCAGACCCATCATCTCCACAATCCCTCTCACCCCCCCCATCTGCCTGGTCTAGTGCATCTGCATAATCTGCACCTGGTGCATCTGCTCCTTCCGCCGCACCAGAGCCCCGATCGTGCCAGAGCAACCCCTCTTCCACCTCTGCTGAACCAGCAGACGCAACAGCAGTAGCAGCAACAGAGGCAGCGGCAGCGGCAGCTGTGGTGCGAACAATAGCTCCAGCTGCAGCGGAACCAGGCATGCTACTGCGGTGAACGTGTGAAGCAAACGGATTCCCAGCAGCAGCTGAGGGTGGGGAAGCTAGAGTTGTGGGAGTGAATAAACCCGTGGTTGCACGACGAGGATGAAGACGAGGAAGAGGAGAAGGAGGTGGGCGGCGATGTAGAGAAGCAGCAGCACTGCAGTGAGAGGGAGGCAGCAGAGGAGAAGGCGCAAAAGGGAAAGAGCTTCTGGCGGGCCTAAAGAAAGGACTCTCCTCCGCCCTCTCCTGCTCCTGCTGCTGCTGCTGCTCCTCCTCCACCACCTCCGCCTCTCCTTGCAATTCTCTCACAGAAAAATGTCTGGCAGGGCCGAAGGGGCTGATGGATGGAAGGACGTGCGGGAGGAGGGGGTCACTGCTGTGGCCCACGGGCCATGGGTCGGCAAATGGGTCAATTTCGATGCCATGCATGGCGTGTGCTTGCATGTGCGAGAGAGTGTGTGTTGTGCGGATGGTGTGGGTTGCTGTGAGCGAGAAGAAACTGGCGTCCGCTGGAGGTGCACCTGCCATGCAGAGAAACGACGACTGGAGAGTCTGGACAGGCCGCACCTGCATAAAACGGCCTCTGCCCAGATGCTAATTTGGAAAATCATAAGATAGATGCTATAGAAACAATCACATTACAATGAATGAAAAACAATACAGACATACCGTCATCAAAGCAGGGGCGCTTGGCAGGTGGAGTTAGCAGAAACTCGGAGCCCTGTTGTCATCCATCGCACGCCCAAAGATAGTGATAGCCACCAATTAAGCAGCAGAGTAGATCCACCGTGGAGCAGAGAAGACCCACCATCACACCACGGCGTGTCCGTGGAAAAAGCAGGCGAAACAGCAGAGATTCAATGTGCATGACAAGGCACACACGCAGCACACACAACGCATCCTGGTAAGATAGACGGTTGAACATAGCACAAGGCTCATGGAAAAAAGCGCAAGTGGAAAACCAAAACAGACAAGACAAATAAAAGGACCCAGGCTGTGGCGCACAGGAGGCCTCTGTAGCTGTGCCGAAACTGATACTGATAGCCTGAGAGGCTGCGAAGCTGGGACTAGAACAGGCTACTCACCCTATCAACCTGAAGGGCTTGACGGAAGTCTGCAGGGATAAGGGGGAGGGAAAGAGGCCAGTGCCTCGCATCTGCGCATCTGTGCTCTGCTGAAAGGAAGTTGGGCCAGCTCTTCTACTGGGTGGAAGCTGCATCTTCCACCGAAGTGACCAAACCAGCACAGCATGTGAAGGAAGGAGCGAGGCTGACTGGGTTGTGATTCAAGGACGAAGGTTCTCGGTTTTCAGCCATTCGAGCTAGCTAACGACACGAGCTACTACACAGGTGACCAGGGGGCGATGATGGGTGACTAATCGTCAAGAAAACGGCAGGAGAAACAGGAGGGAAAGATAGGAAGGAGGGACTCACCACACATGTGGAGCAGGACATCTCCTGTTGCACCACCACGTGCGCCGCCCCCATTCTCCCTCGAACTCCCCGCCCTTGCACCCCTCGCCCGCTCCCCAGCATCCGCTTCGGCGAGTCAAACACCGCCTCTGCCTGCTGCCTGCTGCTGCCGGCCTCACCCACCCCCAGCCCTACCACCCGTCCTCCTCCGAATCCCACCCCTCCTCCTCTTCCCCGCGCTCTTCCTCCTCCTGCTGCGCCTGCTGCCCCTCGCATGCCCATCCATCCGCCTGCCCTCCACCCTCCTGGCCTCCGTCCTACTTGCCTTATCTCGTGACTGCCTGGCACGTCATTCACGAGGTCAAAGGCAGGAGGCAGCAGCAGCTCATCTAAATCTGCATCCAGGTCTGCGTTTACGCCCCACTCTTCATCCAAATCTCGGCCCCTTCTCAACACACCCTCCGATCGCTCACTTCCGTCCTCTGCTCTCTCTTCCTCTCCTCGGGCTCCTTCACTACCCCGCAACACAAACTGGTCCCACTCAGTTGGCGTACCCTCCTGCCTATCTCCAGAGACACGTGGTGGTGCTGCTCGCCTGTACGGTTGCCGTTGCTGCGATGGTGGCTCAGGAGTGGTCCCAGCTTCGGCAATGGAGCGGGGTGGAGTGAACCGTTGGAACACACGGGCAACAGCTGCTCTTGGCCCAGCTGCAACCGGCTGCTGCTCCTGCTGTGGCTGCTGCTGCCTCTCCTCCTCCAGTACCGTCCCTGCCATAAACTGCACCAAGTCTTCCCCCACCATCGGCTCACCACTGCCCTCTTCCGCTCCCATCAAGCCTTCACCTGCTGTGGACCCTGCAGACCCCTGCCCTGCAGCTGACCTCCTCACAGACCGCCCACCCCTTCCGCTGCTGTTTCCACCTGGCTGATTTGCCGAGCCAGAGGGGCCAGGCTCGGCAGCAGCTTCAGGACGAGACGGCTCGAAGGCTGACTGGACCGGGGGCGTTACGGGCGACCTTCGCGGTGGTTGGAACTGTTTCTTGGCAGCCGGAGCCGTGGGGACTGGAAGAAGAGAGTTGTTGAGATGGGGTGAGGGGAGGAGAGGAGAAGGCAAGAGACGTCAGCGAGGAAACAGTGCAGCGCAGCGAATGTTTCAGATGCAAAAAAAATATAGGTTATGGGCGCGTCACGAGGTAGCTGGAACTGTTTCTTGGCAGCCGGAGCCATATGGACTGGAAGAGGAGAGTTGTTAAGACGGGGTGAGGGGAGGAGAGGAGAAGGCAAGAGACGTCAGCGAGGAATGTGTGCACTGTATTCTTCAGGCGGCTCAAAAGAGGACGTTACACGCGAGCCTCGTGGTGGTTGGTACTGCGTCTTGGCAGCAGGATCCACAGGGACTGGGGAAGAAGGATTGTTGAGATGTGGATGGAGAGGAAAGGGGACAGCGTATTGTGCATAGAACCGGCTGAGCGCATGCACCAAAGCACTCACCAGACAAAAGCACTCACCGGACCAAGTACTCATGAGACCAGACCGGAGCACTCACGAAAGTATTTAGATAGCTTGTTCTTCTGCACTGGCAGCTGCATTGGTGATCTCCCCGGCCCACCACTGCCAGGCCTGCCATTGGTAGCCGCGCTTTGTCCCCCTCGTGCTGATGTCGCTGCTGCTGCTACTGCTGCCGCTCCGGCTGCTGCTGCAAAAGCTGCTGCGCCTGCCTGGGTGTGTTGCCTCAGTCGAGGTGACTGAGCTGGTGGCAGTGGCTTGGGTACGGGTTCCGCCTGCAAAACATGTAAAAAAATAGGACAAAACAGCATGGTGGCGGGTGGTTACTATGCAGCACCAAGTGGTTACTAAACAGAGCCGTGGAGCAGGGAAAGAAAACCTTTTGGAAAAGAGTAGCCTATCTCATGTGTAGAACCCACAAGATCAGTACAAAAAACGCATACTTGGAGCATTTACAAGTGCAGTGCATCGGAATCTTACCCCAAATGGTTCATCCGCGGTTGTTATCACATCAAAGAGCTTTTAATGCGATGGTTCGTACATTGATCGGCTCTTTTGTGATGGGCCTTACATCAAACGGCTCGTAAGTGATGGGATCCACATAGCCGAGGGCAATCGCACGGACGAGGCTTGGAGCGAGCTCAGTGGAGATTGTTGAAGTGGAACGAAAGAACAGTGGATGGTGGGGGAAGAAGGGAGGGAAGAGAAGAGAACGAAATAGGGAGAAGAGGGGAAGTAAAGGAAGCACGGGAGAGAGTGAAAGCATACAGTCAAGGGGAAACTATCACATGAGAAACGAGCATCTTGGCGAGCTGGAAACAAAATGAAAGAGCAAAACGAAAAAGAATGTGTTTTTAGAATGTTTAGGGGCAAAACAGGGCAAGAATGGGAGTAAGTGAGGACAGGCACGAAGCACGCTGAGTAGGATATGGTCCAAGAAACGACAGATCCGTGTCCGGTCCAAGCGTGGGAGGCAGCGGGTTGACATGAGTCATGAGCTCATCCGCCAGATGGTACACGCGGTGGTGCAGGAACGTCAGCAGCGCCTGCTCAAACGCGCCCTCATACTCCTCTGGCACCACCCGCCCATTCAGCTTCGCTACAGCCAGCGCTGACTGATAGTTCCTGTGCCTTCGGATCCAGTCGTGGGCTGTTTTGAGGCCAACTTTGGGAAGGCTGTCGAGGTAGTCGCAGCCGCTGAGGATGCACATCTCGAGGACCATCTGCGGGGTGAAATCTGCCAGAGCGAGCTCCTGTGATTGGCCTATGTTGGCGTATACGATCTCGTCGCCGTGCCCCATGTGGTCCATTTTGAAGAGGACCCGCGGGCAGGAGTAGGCGATGAGATCGGAGTCCTCTGTAATTACTGCGTGCACGAGGCCGCTGGTGCAGAGATACGCCATCTGTGCATCGGCTTCGTAGGGTGCCACCACGTACTCCACGTGCTCCTGCCTCAGCACCTGAGAATGGAGGGTAAAGAAAAAGAGTGACGTTTTGCAAACAATGTAACCAATACACATTCAGGAAAATGAGCGGAGGGATGGTTTGCGAAATATATGGTGAAAGCATCAGGAAATTGTAAAGGAGGACTGGTATCAACCACAAATCAATAATCTGGTGATGGCCAGACCCTGATTAGCTGGTGAGCGATGGCAGGTGTGATGTCAACAGCCTTCTGAAAGCACTCCCTTGCTTCACTACGCTTGCCCTTCAGCAACAGCTGCTCCGCTCGTTCAAGGTTCTCCCTCCTTGATCTGCAAAATACAGACAATACACAGAAAAGCAGAAATTTGGTGATAGGAAGAAAGTTCGCTGAAACCTGGAATTGCAGTTTGTGATACAGAGGAGATTGCAGGCAAATGAACGAATGTCTTGGATGTATCATTCTCGAAAATGTACGAAGAAGTTAAAGTCCATGCAATTGCTGAATAAACAGAACCATGGTTCGATTCGATGTAACTCCAGTCCGAGGGGGGGGACATTATCTACATACTTGTCTCGTTTGGATTCTTGCTGGGATTTCGAGGGAAGCTTTCCGCCGTCGAAGACGAGCACGGGAATGACGCCATTGTCTCTCAGGAGTTTGACCTTGTTCATGCAGTATTGAATGTGCCTGGCGGAAATACAGAGGGGGGAAGAAGACGAGGGAGCAAAAGAGACTACGATGCTGAGAACGCATTTGGCAATGATAGCCTGAAATGAGGACCAAATCGAGGAAAAAAATCAGTGCCACCAAACCCTCAAGCGACGGCTTCGCTGTTACAGGACTCTCAAATGACGAAACCCACTTAGCGTCCTGAACGCTCAAACCCTGATAAATCAACCCTAAGAGCTACCCTCCCCGCCTGAACCATATGTCTATGCTTGTCACTCCCTGATCCCAAGTGTAAGCAACGTGCCGGTAAGAATGCGATCGTAATCTAGAAAAGGACGATCGAGAAAATGCTGCTGGCCTATCGTACGAAACCAGCGACTTCGACGCTTCATAGTCTACGAATTCTCCTTCGTATACCCTCGGGGTTCTTAACATCTAGGATCAGGCTAGAACCGGATTACGACGAATTTAACCTTAATGCGCTGCGGAACTGCACGAGAAAAACTGTCAGAAAATCGCGAAATTCACTGAATCAATCTGGCATTGCCTACCTCGTACACGGCGTGCCTTGACAAAGCTCCTGACTGCAAGAATATGAAGCGCGATGAAGCCAGGAATACGTGTCAATGGCTACCCTGCGTCCAGCATATTCTCGTATGTGCGTGCGTCTCGTCACCGACTTGAGCAACGGAAGAAGGCCAGTGATACCCATGGCTGTTATTCATCCGAAGGAAGACCTGCTAGCAGGTCAACTACTAAGATGCAGTTGCTACTGGTAGACGAGGGAAACTTGCCCAGCGAGGTGATGGACCAGATCAGGCGGAGGAAAAGCAGGAAGCGTCACCACAACGACATGGTTTGACAATTCGATCTTTGTAAAGTTTGAAGGTGTAACCACTTTTACAATGTAACATGTCGGTGTAGTTTAGTGGTTAGAATCCCACGTTGTGGCCGTGGAGACCTGGGCTCGAATCCCAGCACCGACACTGTTTTGTGCCCACGTTCTCATCAGCTCCCTTTCTTCCTCCACTCCTCCACCCATCAATAGACGGATGTCCACTACTTAGCCAACCCCTCATTTTCTCTCAGAGGTCTGAACAAAAATTCATACAATGTGTGCTATGCCACACTCTATTTCTCACTTGGGCACAAGATTTTTCTGGCTAATGGCATACCACACAGAAAGAAGGCTTCACAGACAAAATAGTATATACACCAAATGACAGGCATACATGACTCCACAACAAGCATTAGAGCAAGCACTCAGTAATTAGAGTGTCTAAGTATAGAACAAACAACTCGGAGGATGTGCATACTTCCTCAAAACTGCCAGTCCGGAACATCCTGAAGCTCCAGGCAGAGTTCACTGTCCACAATGGGGCTGCTGGAAGCAGCCAAAAAATCAGACAACGCGCTCACATCGTGCCAGATGTCCTCAGTGCTGCTGTCCTCTAGAACCTGCGCACTTGGCTTGTCAACAAGCCCTCCCAACACCAAATCTCCAATGCTCGTAGTCCCGAAATCTGCACTGCCTGCGTTGGAGACAGTATTTAATCCCTGCTCCTCTCCTGCAGGTGTTCCAGTTACAGCCTTGTTGGTACCCGTGGGGGTAGATTCATCCTCATACTGCTCATCCTTGGCCTCGTGTGCTTGTAAAGGGGTCTCATGCAGAGGAGTCGTAACATGCTGCTCGCTTGTGGCACTCTCCATAGAGTCAGCACGGAACAGCACACGGTAAACCTCCTCCTCCACCGCCTCCCCCGATTTCTTCCCCGCGCCCCCTTCCCCCAGCTCCGCCAGCACCCAGTGCGGAAGCCCCGTTGCCTCCTCCGCGCCTGAGGGCTCATCCAGCCAATCAAACGGGCCCATGCCTTGCACGTCCCCCTCTGCCCCGCCCTCCAGCAACAGCTGCATGGCGCGAGTCCCCTTAGTTACGCGCAAATCCTGCTCCGCCTTCTCCGCCCCTTCCGCCCCACCGTCCGTTGCTGGTTGCTCTGAGGGGAAAAGAAGCCTTCGGGATTCGTCAGCTTCAGTCTCTCCCTCTCCGTCCATCTGCTCCGTCGGCAACTCGATTTTGCAGCAGCTCTCGCCGTCGGATTCAGCAGGCAGAACCTCGCTCTGCAAAGGCGACTCGAGCAACGACGGCAGGTGACTCGACGACGAACCGCCGGCCGAGGCGCTTCCTTCAGCCGGCTTTGGGGATCGAATTGTGCCGAAACCAGGCGCGTATGAAACCGGTCCCATGGGCCCCATGAACGGGGGGCACGCCGCAAAGTGCGGCCAGCCCGTACGCGGTGAGACGAGCTGGGAGGGGGAAACCGGGCTACCAGCGCAAGCGGCGGCGGCGGCGGCGGCGGCGGCGGCTGCACCAGCTTGCGCGAACGAGTACTGCGCTACAAGGCTGTTAATGTGCGTCGACGAATCGACACGTTGCATTTCCGCCTTCGCGTCGGCTGCAGCTGAGTCGGCGCCCTCTTGGCGCAGCGGCAGGGGCGACAGCGCAGGAAGCGCTGACGGAACCGCCGAAGGAACCGCCCAGGAGCCGTTCTGAAACGCCGGAAGTTGGAATCCCTGGAGGTAGTGATTGTAGAGCATGTGATTATGGTGGACGGGGGACATCGCGGCCCACGAATAGCCAGGCGGATGAACGGCCGTCCAAAGCGGAGGAGGAAGAGAGGGTTGGAAGGGAGGGAGAGGAGTCGAGAGGTGCGGAGGAAAAGCGAGAGTCGTTCCTGCTTGTCGGTAAGGAGGGCTGGCGAGGGTCGGTGCGAAGGCAGCTGGGCTTCGGCGGTCGTCTCTCCGTGCTCGTTTGGTCTTTTTGAGGGCCTGTGGTCTCGCTTGGGCGTTTGAGTCGGTGGCGTTTCTCTTGAGGGGAACGCTTTGCGGCCTGCTTGCTGGGGAAGTCGCCATGGTTGCCACGTTCCCTTGGTGATCCATGCTCTAAGCGGACTGAATCCGAGAGACGAGGTCGAGGTCTTTTAGACTCGCTGTGGGAAATTGTCAGTGATGAAAGGTGTTGGGTTCTGGTTTTGCTGCGTGCGTGCGGGCTTCTCAAGAATGTCGGATGGTCACAGGGTAGTATATCGTTCGTTCTCTTCGTTGGAAGGTTTTCCAGCCTTCTTGGTGGAACATTCGCAGGATGAATGAAGCTGTGAATGAAATACAGGCGAGTTGAGGAGCTCGTTATACTGATGTGACGACGAGCTGGAATCCAGCCAGATAGGTGGTGGGATGAAAGGAACTGGGAAGAATTATGGGCGAGGGGAGAAGGGAGGGAGCAACAGAAAGCACATGGGTGCGCGAGGCATGTGTGTACACACCCGTATTTGTTCGTTCAATCGCAAATTCTTTCGTCGGTTCTCTCAGCCCGTGCACGCGACACCTTTCACCATTTTCCATGCGACGCGACGCGAGGCGCACAGTGTTTTCCTCTGGACTCGGGCTGGAGCACGAGTGAGGCTCGGGCAGCGGAAGGAAGGACCCAGCACCACAAGCGTCGGTTTCGCGCAGTCAACTCCAAAGCAGGAGCCAGGGCGTTTGATTCGTTGAACCCATCACGGGCAGACTCGTGTGAATGATGGTACACTTGAACGGGATGTGCATCAGGTCATCTTGGGCCGTTTCTGCTCCTTCTGAGTGTTCGCCGGTCGGTGCGCCGTGCCAAATCGGCCCTTTCGCTTCGTCTTGGCGCCCAAGAAACTACGCCTGGCCTTGCTCTTTCCTGCCCGTGACGTTCAACTTTCAGAGCAGAAATTCCAGAGAGTGCACAGCGGGTTGAAAATGATGCGGTTGTCATGCTTCACGTGCGCTCCAACAGACATCATGGCACTCCAAATCGCGTCAATCACCCAACCGAACCGAACCTGTGAATCTGCCCGCCTCGGGAGTTTCGCTGATATTTTGTAGGTGCGCTCGCGCAGGTGCTGAATGTGGAGCAGCGGAGACCACCATCTGCCTGTCTGAAAGGCGCAGGTTGTCGGGCTCGGCGGGGATAGCTGTTGCGGGTCCTTCCGCGCTCCGCCATTTCACCCCCCATCTGCCACACCTGGACGCATTCGGTTGGCTAGCGCCCCTTGCCTACGTTCTGGCAGACAGCTAGCAGTTTCGGAGGTGACCCTGGTCCCCCCGACTGTCCCAACCCCTCTCTGTGCATCCTACACAAGGACCAAAATTTTCAACGAAATATCGGAATACGTTACAGAATGTGCCGAACCAAATTTCTACTCGTTTGCTACACATAGTCTCGAAGTAAGGGCGTGTCCCGAAAGTTTGTAAGCAGTTTCGGGACCCGGTTTTACGTTAAACAGCACGTACAGCAGCGCGGTACACACACGTTCCAGGTACGTACAAATCACTCCGAACGGAGACCCGAAATCCAAAAACCTGACAGGGACACGAGGCTCTACAGTGCCGCGAGTTGTACAGCCCAATCTCGGACTGTTACCAGGTCCACTTGCCAACGGACCAATATGACCGTCGTGGAGGAATTTGCGACAGCAGGGCGAGTTCGCCCAAGGGAGATGCTTCGAATCTGGAACTCCTCGCTTCCTGTTCTATCTGTTTCAGGTACTCTTTCTCTCATGTCAGTACAATACGCAGTCCAACAGTTACGACTGCTGTGTTTTGCTTGTACTCCCTGGTGTATAAGCTTTCACATTGGAAAAAAAAAAAAAAAAAAAAAAAAAAAAAAAAAAAAAAAAAAAAAAACCAGTCCAAGTTGAGACGCGTCAGTTATTTTTGTACAGCGCGGTCCGTGTCCAGACGAAGTAGTTGGCGAGTAACGACACGCAAGATTGTGGTTACTATTTACCAAATGAAATGTAAATGTACTTTTCGGACACGCCCTAAATGAACAGGTTGTCCTTCGGTTTTGCCTTGAGTATGACGTTGCGCTTCACGGGCAGTTTCTGGTCAAGATCTGGAAGAAACAACGGTACACACTTGCTCCTCATTGCTGCGATTGAGGGTGCGTTTCTGGCTAGTGTCAAACTTCCGGTCAGACTTCGTGTTTTCCGAGCCAGGGGCGATTTTTTGCGGGAAGACCCGAAGTGGGGCCAGCTGTGGGGCGAGCTTCGTGCTATCCCGGGAAGACCGGAAGTTTGACACGAGCCAGGAACGCGCCCTGCGAGCATCTGTATCAACTGCCACAACCAATCGGAGTGAACGTTACACAAGTCATGCCACCAGTTTGAAAACTCCGAATAGGGCTCCCTCGTTACAGTACAGATCGCATCATTTTTTTGTGGTGTTCCATCAACCACACAATCTAATACAAAAGCGTTTTAGTATAATAAAACTCACACTAATCCAACTATTCCAGGCTGATGCACGTATCAAGAATGATGCATGTACCACAATCGAGTATGCTGGGAACATTCAGCCAATAGGACTGATCGTGTCGTGGAGACCAGCCTTCAGGACGCGTCACCTCCTCCGATTTTGTATTACTTTCTATCCTGCGCAGGATCGTTTTTTCGCGAGGTTGAAAAGGGTCAATAAAGATGTGGAAACAATAATCGGGGCTTCAGCGCGGTGGCGGATCGATAATACACGATCCATCGCAGGTGACGCGTCCCCAGTGATCACTGAATCGTTCAGCTTTGAGAGTGACACTCGCAGGCAGTCCTAATCTTTTCATCACAGACATAGCAGCCTCACTGAACAGAACAGCCGTCTTGTTCAACAGTCCCAAGCTGCTAATCATACAGCGCGACGAATAAACGGCGAACCATGGCCTCGTCGCTGTCTCAGCTCGCCTCGTCGTCCGCACTCTCCGCGCTCCACGCTCGCGTCGGCCCCAGATTAGCCAAGCCGGTGTCGCCATCTGTTCCTTGCGTCGGACCAGTGCGCGCTAGATCGGAATCGGAGTCGCCTAATTCCGCTGCACGGTATAAAAACAAGAAAATAAAACTCTTTATTTCAACAGTTGCGACGTATGCTTCCAGCACCGTGCCGGATCCATAACGACTAAACATCGCATTGCATCGCTTTCCTGGCTTGCCTGAACCATTCTCACCCACAGACCATGCGTCGTTAACCGACGGGATTTGTTGGCCGGGTCGCTGGCGGCTCCGCTGGTGTTGACTCTCGTGGGATCAGCTAGCGCGGAGCAAGGTCAGTTAAAAAACCACATCCTCGAAAGGAATCAGCCGTTGGATATGTGCCCGCATTGGATGATACCAGAAATTGTGGAATTTATATATCTTTTTACCTGCTGAAGATGGCTCCAAAAGGAAAGGATTCCCTATGGTAGCGTCAGTGTCCTAACCGGCCGCTCTCATCTGTTGCAACCTTTTGTTTGAGTTCCTCCTTCCTGGTCTTATCCGTTCTCCCATTGCAGAGGCTTCAGACTTCGTGACGTTCGAGAATCCCAAGGAGAGATATACCTTCCAGGTCCCTGCAGGTAAGGCCGTAGTTTAGCAGTATTTTATGAGCCCATTTCCTTCTCACTACTTGAAATAATTGCGTCATAACTCATGGTCTGCCCCACCTCCCCCTCCTCTGGGCCCCGCCCTCTCTTTCTCCCTCTCTCTCTCTCCCTCCCTCTCCGTCTCGAACGTCGCGTCAAGGATGGGTGCGCAGCGAGGGCACGGCGGGAGTGCGTCAGGTGATCGCCTTCCACCCGCCAGATCGCACCGATGCTAACGGTGGGTCTACGGGGAAGGGGTGGGTCTACGGGGAAGGGGTGGGTTAATTGGGAAGGGGTGGGTTCACTGGGAAGGGGTGGGTTCACTGGGAAGGGGTGGGTTAATTGGGAAGGGGTGGGTTGATTGGGAAGGGGAGGGTTCACTGGGAAAGGGTGGGTTCACTGGGAAGGGGTGGGTTCACTGGGAAGGGGTGGGTTCACTGGGAAGGGGTGGGTTCACTGGGAAGGGGTGGGTTCACTGGGAAGGGGTGGGTTCACTGGGAAGGGGGAGGGTTCACTGGGAGGGGAGGGACTAGGGAGGGGGGTTCACTCAGAAGGGGGTTTCATTGGGGAGGAAGGGTTTACCAGGGAAGGAAGGAAGCGAGTTTGTCGAAATGCTCAAGCCCGCCTGTAGCATGACGCTCGTGAGCGTTTCTCTCTCTCTCTCTAGTGACTCAGATTCCGCGCAGCCTGGAAGTGGTACAACGAAGAACGCTACTTGATTCCACCCGTTTGCATGACAACCTGTGCTGGTACGAAACCAGAGAATCAGGGTCGTTCGTTCTGCCTTTGTCCTGTCCAGCAGGCCAAGCAATGCGGTTTCACGCGTGGCACTCCCTCTGATCATTTCCTTGCACTCACTCTTGCCGCCGCGCATGTCCCTTGTCGTCCCAATGTCCCGATTCCGTGCAGTGACCATCCTCATCACGCCTTTGGCAGCCGATTTCACGTCGCTGGGGTCGTTTGGCACCGTGGACGCCTTTGCTGAAACGCTGGTGGGTTCCTGTCATGAACTTTGCTGCGCTGTGGCATCGGAGTGTGTGTTGCTGGCTGTACTTCTGCACTGCTGCACTTCTGCTTTGCTGCACTTCTGCTTTGCTGCAGTGTTGCACTGCTCTGCCGAGCAACCCACCCTCTCTGCTCTGCTGTGCTGTGCTGCGCATTTCTGGAGCCATCTGGTAGCTCTGGGGGTCTGTGGGGGTCATTGTCAGGAGTTTGAGTGGAAATGTTGGGGGAGTGGGGATTAGTGTGTGACCTGCAGCAGACTGGGAGGGGAAATGCTTGGTATGCGACGTCCTTGGTGCCTCTGCCTCATGCTGGTCGTGGAATTTGGACTGCTTGCTCCTTTTCACCTTGCACCATGCATCACCATGCATTAGCTTGCACCATGCATCACCATGCATCAGCGTGCACCATGCATCACCATGCATCAGCGTGCACCATGCATCACCATGCATCAGCGTGCACCATGCATCACCATGCATCAGCGTGCACCATGCATCACCATGCATCAGCGTGCACCATGCATCACCATGCATCAGCGTGCACCATGCATCACCATGCATCAGCGTGCACCATGCATCACCATGCATCAGCGTGCACCATGCATCACGGTGCATCACCACTCATCACCTCGCATCAGCTCACTTACCTCTCCTCCCCATGCCTCGTGCTGCCGGTGCTGGTGCGAGCAGGTGAACGGTTTGGACCGCAGCTGGCAGCCCAGTCCCGGGCAGAAGGCAGTGCTGCTTGGCGCCAAGTCCGCCAATGGTGAGCGGCACCCACACCTCGTTTTCACCTCTTCTCAACGTCTTCGGTTCTTGCTCTCGGGATCCGTTGTTTTAGTCCAAACAATCCAACTTCTGAAACTTAGCTAAGTAAGAACATTCTTCTTTCCAGCCCTGCTTGTTGAGTGTGGCAGAGCCAGGATGAACTTGCCTACATCCGTCTCTATTCCCTCCATCCCCATCACTTACCCCTCCCCGTAGACACAAACCTGGTGGAGTGTTACACGCTGCAAAAGCCTTCTCAAGCGCCTCAGAGGGTCTTTGTTTTGCTGCCTCCATCCTCTCACCTTCTCCCTCCCTTTCGACGCATACCTGGTGGGTTACAGGCTGCAGAAGCCTTTTGAGGCGCCCAGAAGGTGTCTAAAATCTATCGTTGCTGCATACACCCCCTTGTCTTCCCCCTCCCTGTACACGCATACCTGGTGGAGTACACGCTGCAGAAGCCTGTTGGGGCGCCTCAGAAGGTCTCTGGAATCAATTGTGCTGCCTACACCCCCTTGCCTCCCCCCTCCCTGTAGACGCCTACCTGGTGGAGTACACGCTGCAGAAGCCCAGCGAGCCCTGCGTTCACCTCTACTCTGCTGTGGCCACGGGGCAGAACGTGTGGTACAACAACCTCTTCACCTTCACCGGGCAGGTGAGGACCTTCTCACTATGCTTGCCTGTTCTATGCCTGCCTGTTCTGTGCCTGCCTGTTCTGTGCCTGCCTGTTGTGTTCCGGGCTAGAACGTGTGCTACATCTCTTCACCTTAGCAGGACAGGTTAGGACTACAAGTCTATGCCTGCCTGTTCTGCGAATGCCCTTAACATGAACAGCCGGAGACCTGACGTTTGCCTCCTAAGGGCAGGACTGGTCGCACCACAGCATCTTCACCTTTCGCGTTGATGTGGAAGTTGTTGAAATCTTTGATGTTGGAGATGTCATCATCATTTCTTACTTGTTTATTTTGTGAGTACAGTATCCTGAGGACGAGGCTGCTACATTCAAGCCAACTGTGGACAAGGTGAGCCTTACACTCTCTGCTCTCAAGAAGGGCAATGTACTGTATCTGTCTGTCTATGTGCATCAGGGGTCAGGGTGTCACTGCATTTCATGCTGCCTGTTCATTGGCTTAATGCCTCACTGTGCCCAAAAACTGCAGATTGTGAAGTCCTTCAGAGTTACCATCGGCAAGCAATGATTACTGCATGCAGAATCTTGTGCGCAGCTATCTAGATTATAAGATAATTCTGGAGGGCCTGTAATGGAAATTTTAGTCGGCTAATTGTTATATGATCATCAGCTTGGTGTACAATCTTGCAATCAAAATAGTCACTCACAGTCCACGACTGAAGATAACCTTGGCTATGAGAATTGTTTCCTCTTCATGCACTTCCTTGGATGAACTTCACGAAATGCCACAGTGTAAGGAATTTTCTCGGCATTCCTTACGGAGCCCGACTACATCGCGTACAGCAACAGCAGTTGTTCGCCCGTTACTGCTAACGGGACTTCGCTGACTTCGCGCGCACTGTTTCACCAAACCTCGCACTGCTGGCCTGGCCGTGTCGGCCTACGCTTCGGGACTAGCCCGAGCCTCGCTTCCAGCGTAGCACTAGCTAGCTCGCACGCACCGCGTTACCGTTTGCATGTTTTGCGTACAGATGTTCGCTCATGCCTTCGCTCACATTTTGTACTCGTTTCACACCTTAGTGCAATTCTCGCTACTTCGATTCATTGCACCCGTAACAATGTTCCTTTTCCAAGTACCGTACCTAGTTTGATTCCAATCATTTCAGAATACAAGCTGCCCCCCCACGTAAGCGTTCCCATGCTCGCGTACGCGTGTTGGGCACGTGGAAAGGATGGATCCAGATGTGTACTTCCACCAACTCGTCACACTTGCTATTTAGAGCCCCTTTCTTTCGGTCCGTGCATCTCCGCACCCCAGGAAATCAACTTTTGATTTTTCACTCGAAGGGACTCACGTACCTTAGCACCTAGGAGCCGTTGTCCTCGCGTTCTCTCGTAAACGCGTGCAGCCACGACTGCGCCTAGACTAAGACGAGCCGACGCCCTTCGAAATGGCTGAACATATCGACATCACGACTCTCGCGCAGGAGCACTTGAACGATCTGTTGCGACAAATCCGCGAGAGCGTCGAGGAAATCGCGACGCTGACGGCAGAACGCTCGTCCCTGCAAAACGACCTCACACTGGCACAATCCCAAGCACCTGGCACTCCGATTCAGCCCGCACCACAGACATCACAGCACGGAAGTGTGGGGCAACCCGCAAGCGCCGCAAGTGATGGCGTCGTCCGCCATGACGGAGACGACGACCACGGCACGACACACCCCGACGCGACGAATGTGGCCAGGACTCAGCCTCGAGTCACGATTTCGGTGCCGGCCAGCGAATTATTTCTTCCGTCGCCGATGCCGCTAAAGCCGCAGCGTCCGCCATGCTTTGACCCAAGTCAGCGGGGTGGTCCTACCGTTCACGCGTGGCTCTTCACGTTGAACGTCTTCTTCGACGCGAACTACGTCTCGGAGGATACGGCGAAGATTCTCTACGCCGTGTCGTTGCTGCGAGGACCCGCCATGGACTGGTGGCGCGTCATCATCACGAAGCCGGTGGACTACGCGACTCTACCGACATGGGAAGGACAAACCGGACCCTGGGCGCCGTCGTATTTCGTGGAGGTGCCCCAGTATCGCACGTGGGACGCGTGGTGCGCAGGTCTGCGCGCTCGTTTTGAGCCAATCGCGGCTTCGATCGCGGCGCGACAGAAGCTCCGCACTTGGCGCCGACTCGGTTCCGTCCAAGATTACACGAGCGGATTTCTGGCGCTATGCGAGCAGGTGGGATATATGCACGAGAGCGAGCGCATCGACCGCTACATCGGCGACCTGAAGCAGGACATCGCTCAGGAAATCCAGCTTCGCGGCGTCACCGACTTTCAAGAAATTCTCGCTATGGCGGAGAAACTTGACTTCTTCCGTCGACCGAGACCGGGGTCCTACGGAAGCAGCCATTGGGGACATCGGCCTTCTGGGACGAACGAGGGCGCCACGATACGTGCCGTCGCCGCAAATGCCGCTGCCGCACCATTCAAAGGGCGCTGCTTTGCGTGCAATCGGCCGGGACATCGCAAGAGCGAATGCCCGGAAAACGCTAAGGGAAAGGGGGAAGCTGAGCAGCAGAAACAGACCAAGCAGCAAGGAAACACTGGGAGTCAGTAGCAGACGGGCCCTCTACTGACAGGTCACGCCGCTCGCCCGACCCAACCGACCCTCACCGAGTGATTGTGCCGGTTCACGCAATCGACCACACCCGGCCGAATAAGGAGGGGACTACGGTAGACAGCCCCATACTGCTTAGTGGGAAAATCGGGACGGACTTAGTTAAAATCTTTGTAGACGGGGGCCTCATCAACACTGCTACAGCACGAAAACTGCGACTGCCACTAGACAGATGTTTACCTGAGATCGACGCACGACTGGTAGACGGCACGCCGCTGGCAATACGGGAACGCGTAGAACGGGTTCGGATTCGATGTGGGGATAACTTCACGTTTAGCCAGGAAATGCTCGCAACGACCCTCGACGGAACCGATATTTTACTCGGGCGTGATTGGCTGCGACGACACAATCCGCGAATGACGACGGGTGACTGCACCGTGCGAGTGAACGGTAACAACATCGCCCTACCTCGGTGGGGCTCGCTTGAGTCTTCGTTGGTGCGTGTCAACGCGATCACGATGAAACGCGCCGTAGCGGCATGAGCTGACGTTACGCGGTCGACATTCGGGAAGCCGAGGCAGCAGACAAAGGAGGGGATTTAATGAAACTGCTAGCCGACGTACCGAGTGACCTGGCAGCACTATTGAAGAAGTACAGCGACATTTTCCCGGACAATTTACCGACGGGACTGCCACCTCAGCGACCGCACGACCACAGGATAGAGTTAGAACCGGGGGCACAGCCAACAGTACAGCGACAGTTCCGACTGACCCAGCCCGAACTGGACGAACTGAGGAAGCAGCTTGATTACCTGCTCGAGAAGGAATTCATTCCCCCTAGTTCGTCGCCTTTCGTAGCACCGATACTGTTCACACCGAAAAAAGACGAGGGATTTCGCATGTGCATAGACTACCCAGCACTGAACAGGGTTACCATAAAATCCCGTTACCCCATCCCGCGAGCCGACGAACTGATCGACCAACTGCGCACAGCCCGGGTTTTCTCGAAAATCGACCTTCAAGGGGGTTACCACCATGTCAGAACATTATAGCTTATACATAAGTGTAAGCTGAGCGTGTGGGTGTTGCGCCTGGGGGTGCTGAGCCTGCGGGTGCTACTACTGGGGGTGCTGAGCCTGGGGGTGCTGCGATTGGGGGTGCTGAGCCTGGGGGTGCTGAGCCTGGGGGTGCTGCGACTGGGGGTGCTGAGCCTGGGGGTGCTGAGCCTGGGGGTGCTACGCCCGGGGGTCCTGAGCCTGGGGGTGTTACGCCTGGAGGTGCTGAGCCTGGGGGTGCGGAGCCTAAGGGAGTTGGGCCTACTCGTGTGGCGTCTGGCGGTGCTGGGCCTGGAGGTTCTCCGGGTGCTTTGTCTCGACGGGAGCCCCTCTCTCCACAGGAGCTCCGTGAGTGGTTTGCTCGGCGCTGGAGGCGTGCTGCTAGAGCTAGAGGTTCTTCGGCAGCTGAGGGTGCTGGTGCCGCGGGTCCCGGAGGTGCTCGTACTGGGAGTACTGGAGCTAATGGGCCTGCGGGTACGACTGGAGCTGGAGCTGCTGAGGGTGTTGTCGGTCGTGGAGGCGGTCCTACTGGGGGTACTACTCATGCTGCTGGAGGTATTAGAGGTGGAGGGGCTCCTGGCGCTGGTGCTGCCGCTGGGGGTGCTGGTGCTGTCCCTGATGTGTCTGGAGTCGCCGCGCGGCCTCGGCCGTACTTCGTTCCGCTCCTTCAGCAGGTTCTTGGTCTCCCGCCTTCTACTAGTCCTCCTCCTCCCTTAGAGTGTCCACAGCCTGTCCCGTCACAGTTACAGTTACAGCCGTCCTCCCCACTGCCTTCTCCTTCTCCCTACACTGGTCCTACTGGAGGTCTTGCTGAGCGTCATGAGCCTGCGTCTCGCCCTGCGTCGCCTGTCCGTGCTGCTTGCACTAGTGGTCGTGGTTCGCGTCAGCGTCTTTCTCCTGTCCTTGGCACGCACCGGATGTCTCTGCGTCCGTCCACTGCTCCTCTGCGTGCCCCTTTGCCTTCTCCTCCTAAGTCCTCTCTTCCTGCTCTTGCCGACCCGGAGTCGGACTCTCTTCGTGCTGCCAGTCCTACGGTCACGCGTCTCCTTGCTACTGTTGTCACTGACCCTTCCTTTGGGTCCACTGCTGCGTCTACCCTAGTTGCTGAGCTCGTCGACTTTGCTGCTCGCTGTCGTCTAGACTACGCTGCTAGTCTTGTCGCTGAGTCTGTCTGTCCTCCGTCCGTCGGGGGTGAGTGTGCCCTTGGCACGAACGTCCTTGAGGACAGACAGGAGGAGTTCCAGTGTCTGGCTGCTGCTTCACCTCATCTTGTGTCCGTACTGCTTACCCCTGAGGGAGACCCGGATGCACTTGACATCCCGACTCCGCGCTCTTACGCGGAGGCGATAGAGGGTCCCTACACCTCTCAGTGGCAGGCAGCTACGGACGCAGAGATGGCTTCCTAGAAGTCCACAGGCACCTACGTTGACGAGGTTCCCCCACCCGGGGCGAACATCGTCAGTGGCATGTGGATTTTCAAGGTGAAGCGGCCGCCGGGTTCTCCGCCTGTATTCAAGGCGCGTTACGTGGCTCGTGGCTTCAGTCAGCGGCAGGGAGTTGACTACTTTCAGACCTTCTCTCCCACCCCGAAGATGACCACTCTTCGGGTACTGTTGCACATAGCAACTCACTGCGACTACGAGCTGCACTCTCTTGACTTCAGCACTGCTTTCTTGCAGGGCGGCCTGCACGAGGAGATCTGGTTGCGTCGCCCATCTGGCTTTACTGGGTCTTTTCCCCCCGGCACCGAGTGGAGCCTTCGGCGGCTTGTCTACGGTCTCCGCCATGCGCCCCATGAGTGGCACGACACACTGAGGACTACACTTGCGGCTCTTGGGTTTGCTCCTTCTACTGCCGACCTGTCCCTGTTTCTGCGCACCGACAACTCTTTGCCGCCGTTCT